TTTGGTTTATTTATTACATATACAGTGTTCTGCTTGCATGTGTGCCTGCACACCAGAAGAGGCTACAAGATCTTATTATAGACGGTGATGAGCTACCATGTGGTTGGTAGGAATTGAGCTCAAGACCTCTGGAAGAGCAGCCAGCAGAAGCGCCCTTAACCTCTGAGCCCTTTCTTCAGCCCAAGACAGGGTTTCTCTGTGTAATTTTGGCTGTCCTGGAACTCACTCTGTAGACAAGGCTGGCCTCGAACTCACAGAGATCCATCTGCCTCTGCCTCCCAAGTGCTGGGATTAAAGGCCACCATGGCTGGCGAGCTAGACTTTCATAAACAAACTAAAAAAAAAATGAACAGTCAGGTGAAATGACTCAGCAGGTGTAGCCTTGCGGCCAAGCCTGACAATCTGATTTCAACACAGAAGGAGAGAACCAACTCCTGTGAATTGTCCTCTGACTCCACATGTACTTTGGCACACACACAGCCTCCTCCCCTTGTCCACACAAAATAGAAATAAATGGAAGAAGGAGGAGGAGGAGAAGGAGCAGGAGGAGGAGAATAATAATAAGAATAAGAAGAATAAGAAGAATGCTTCTTTGGGTTCTGTTCTGGTAAACCAAAGGCTACATTTGATTGATATCTGGACAATCTTGAAGGTGTGAGTAGGATCTGAAGAGAGTGACACATTGATGGGGCGGAGCCTACTAATTAGTAGGCTACCATCTGGTGCCAGAGAATTAGCCTACAGAACACACATATCTGGTTATGGAAGTGATCAGTATTGAGAATATTGCAACTCTTTCTGCCTTTTACACTGACCACCAAGGCAATTCTTAAGATTATTGACTTCCACAGAGGGGGGAAAATATACCCATTGTAGTCTTCTATCATGGGTGTGAGAGAATTAGAACCATAATTTGATTTTTAAATAAAAGTATTTTTTCTATACAGATAAAAAAAAATGAACATTAAGAATGAGTGGTGGGCTGAGGATACAGCACAGCGGCAGAATGTCTGTCTTCTGTGTACGAGGCCCTGGGATCAGTTCCCAGCATCAAAAGGACAGTAGCTAGCTGGCCTTCCTTTCTTCCTTCCTTCCTTCTTCCTGTGTTGCTGGGTGCTGAACCTAGAGTCGAATGCATATTAGGCAAGCACTCTACCACTGAGCTATATCCCTCAGGCCTCGGTTTTTATACACTAATAACAAATTATCTGAAAAAGAAAATAAAACAACTAGGCCTGTGACTCATGCCTATGATCTCAGCACTCAGGAAACAGAGGTAAGAAGACTGTCAGGAATTTCAGGTCAACCTGAAATACTCTGTCTCAAAACAAAACAAAACAAAACAAAACACCAAACATACAGCAGAAAAAATAATTCCATTTACAGTAGCTACAAAAATGATGGAGAATGAATTTAACTAAGGAGAGAAGTGTTTTTACACTGAAAACTATATAAAACAATAATGAAATGAATGTCAGAGTAAATCTTTCCAAATAAATGGAAAGATAACCCGTATTTCCAGATGAAATGGTTAATATTGTTACAATGTTCAAAATAAGCCAGACACAGCATGCCTGTGATCGCAGCATTGGGGGTTAGGCATAAGAGGATCAGAAGTCACATATCATAGCTGGGCCTCTAACCCTAGCACTCTAAAGGCAGAGGAAAGTGGATCTCTGTGAAACTGAGGTCAGACTAGTCTGCAGAGAGAGTTCCAGGATAGCCAGGGCTACCTAGAAAAACTCTGTCTCAAAAAAAAAAAAAAAAAATAACAACCAAAACCAATACATAGCAGCGGCAACAACAACAAAAAAGTTAGATAGCAAAACTGAGAGCGACTTGGGTTACTTGCCATCCTGTCTCAACAGGCAACCCAAAAGGTGTGTGTGTGTGTGTGTGTGTGTGTGTGTGTGTTTGTGCGTGCGCGCACCAAGATGGGTCAGGGTTTAAAGGTGTTTGCTGCCTGACATCCTGAGTCTGAGCCCTAGACCCATATGGTGGAAGGAGAGAACCAGCTCCCAGAACTTGTCCTTTGGCCTCCACATGCATGCTCTAATGTGAACATGTGCAACTACTCACACATACATTAAAATGTATATTTAAACCGGGAGAGGTGGTGCACACCGCCTGCTCTCGAGGAGGCGGAGGCAGGCGGATCTCTGTGAGTTCGAGGCCAGCCTGGTCTACAAAGTGAGTCCAGGACAGCCAAGGCTACAACAGAGAAACCCTGTCTCGAGAAAACAACATAAATGTGTATGTATGTATGAAAATGGTGGAAAGATGGCTTAGAGGTTAAGAGCACTAGCTGTTCCTCCAGAGGACCCTGGTTCAATTCCCAGCACCCACATGGCAGCTCATGTTCACCACACCCGGCTTTCAGGTAATTTTTAATAGCATGGGTGAGTGATAAAATTGTTTGTCACCAAGCAGGAAGACCTGCGTTTAATTGTATTCCTTTTGTAGCCCTCCTGACGATTGTCCCCAGAACCTGTCGGTGCCTCTTGTAGACTCTTTCCTAAACGTGCCATTTCTAAAAAAGGCCCAAGGTGTACATGGGTGGATAGCAGGGCTCCAGACTCTCCCCACTCAAGGGGAATGTCAGGCTTTTCTGGGGGATCCAGTTGCTAGGACTGCTGTGGGGCCTGAAGGAACGGGGCTTGGCATTTTCTTGATCCCATTCCAGCCTTGCCACTCACCACCTCAATGTTTCTGTTGGCTGCATGCTGGCTCTTCTTCTTTGGCAACGAAAAGCCATCCCCTGGTTTCTGCTTATTTCCTTTTAGGGATTGCAAGGCCAAAGCTCTTTTGATAGGAAACTGAAAACACCATCAGCTTCCCTCAACCTCCATGACAAAAGCTGCATAAACTGAGGCAGTGACGCTCACTTTGCCGGCCATGCCTCTCAATGCTGCTTTTGGAGCTGGAATAGGGGCTAGAGAGATGGCTCAGCATTAAAGACAAGGCTCACAACGAAAAATACAAAGGGAAAAAGCAGTTCTGTTTATGATAATGAAATGAAAATGCTTACTGTTGATAAATCTTCATCCTTCAGTATGAAGGATGGGTACTTAGCCATTTGTGTGACAAATTGAGAAACTAGCCTGGTGAGGCAGTACATGCAGTAATCCGAGCACTTGAGAAGCTGAGGCAGGAGGATTGCAGCAAGTCTGAGGCTAGTATGACTACATAGTAATTTGCTATGTAGCTAGTGCTACATAGGAAAACCTTGACTAACTCCAATAAAAATAAAGCAACAACCCTCCCTCCCAAAACAAAACTAAACCAACCAAAAAAAAAAAAAAAAACCAAGCAATCCCTCAATGCAGATGGGGGGGGACCATATCTATAATTCCAGCATTCAGGAGGCAGAGGTGGAAGAAGTTCAAGGTCATCTTTGGCTACCTATCCCCAGAAAGGCCTGACATTGCTTTTCAGCGGACAGAATCTGGAGCCCTGCTATCTTGGGCCATGCACACTGTGAGACTTTTTAGAGGTGATAGATTTAAGACAGAATGTAGCCTAGCCTACATGAGACTTTGTCTCAGAAAAAAAAGAAAAAGAAGACACTCTGGTACATTATAACATGGATAGATTGTGGAAAATATAGTGTAAAATAAGACCAAAAAAGACAGACAGACAGAGACAAAAGGAAGATTATAGTATAATTTAACTTCTATGAGGTATCTAGAATTAAAAAAAAAAAAAAGAAAGCAGAACACAGGTTTCGAGGGATGAAGAGAGTTACTGTTTAAGGGATACAGGGCTTCTGTTTTGGGTACTGGGAAGGTTCTAGAAACAATGGCAAGAGACTGTAGTTACAAAATATTATGAGTGCTACAAAAACACATACTTAAAGATACTGATGGCTTAGCAGTTAAAGAGTGTGTGCCGCTCTTTCAGAGGATCCAAGGTCAGTTGTTAGCACCCACGGCTGGTGGCTCACAACTGTAACTCCAGGACCTGCCATCTCTGCCACCTGTGCTCACATGTACACACCCAGACACGCATGTAACTAAGAACAATAAAGGCAAATCTTTAAAAAATGGTCAAGGGGTTGGGAAGACGGTCTAGTCAGCAAAGATCTTGGCATGAAGCAGATCTCCACAACACATAAGAAAACTGGGCATGGCTAGGCATGGTGTATTCTTTAATCCCAGCACTTGGGAGGCAGAGGCAGGTGGATCTTTGAGTCTGAGGCCAGCCTGGTCTATAGAGAGAGTTCCAGGACAGCCAGGGCTACAGAGAGAAACCCTTCTCAAAGAAACAAAACAAAACAAACAACAAAAAAACTTCCACTCAAAGAAAACTACAAATACGTGCCAGCAATGCCAGTCTGGAGGATAAGCAGACAGGAGGGTCATTGGAGTTTGTTGGCCAGCCAATGTAGCTCAATCTGGAAGCTGCACTGGGAGAGCAAAAAGAGTTGGGGTAAAGAAAGCTTTGTCGCAGGAGGGATCTGACAGCCTGACCCTGAGAGATGGACTCCAGCCCCACCTGTCCTCTTCCCAGGACAAGGTTAGACTAGGTGACCTCATTCACCTTTTTCCATCCCAGGTCTGGCACCTCTGCTAACAACCATTTCTCTTTCCCTTTATCCTTTAAACACTCTGATCTTTCTGCAGACCAGAAGTAAGGCAGGAGGTGGACAGAGGGCAGTGTTCTGAAAAGTTCCCTGGTCTTTGGGGGGCTCTATTTCTAGCTATTTATTTATTTATGTTTCTTGAGATAGGGTTTCTCTGTGTAGCCCTGGCTGTCCTGGACTCGCTTTGCAGACCAGGTTGGCCTTGAACTCACAGTGATCTGCATGCCTCTGCTTCCCTGAGTGCTGGGCTTTATGGCGCTCTCCATCACACCCGGCTTGGGTGGCTCACCTTTCTCCATTGGCCTCACAGCCCTTACTGTGCAGGTCTGCCAGGCTGTGCCTTTTTGTTTATTTTATGAAGAACACTGAGTGACAAGGAGGGATGCCCCAGAAGGAAGAAACCGCTAGCGAACGGGTATGTAGAAATGGTGCCTTTATTGGTGCAGTCCGAGGGACAGGCAGGCACCGCTTCACGGACTCACTTCCCTTGGCTCCTCTCCTCAGTGGGTCTAGCTCATCCTCTCCACAGTGGGGCTGGGTAGGAGCTCCAGACTCAGGCCTTTGCACCTATGGGTACCCTGATTACAGTGTTCCAGGAAAAGTCCTGAGCTGCTCACATGTCCACTTCTGGGTTGGCTGCCAAGACAGTAGAAGGTGACTGGCGAGGGATGTGGTTGGTGTAGAGGGACAAGTAGGGCTTTCAAGTAACACCTGGCAATCCTCAGGGGCAGCGCTCCGGTCTGCACCTGCCCTGGCAGGACTGGCTAAGGCACAGTGGCTGGGCCGTGTCATGACATGGGCTGGAATCCTGGGGATCTGGCTCCGTCAACACATGTGGCTGGCTGATGCACATGAAGCTATTTTTTCCGCCGAGGGGCCGAGGAGTCACTGCTGTTGCTGCTGAGGGCGGGGGCAGCTTGCTCAGAGTTAGCTCTGGAATCCTTCTTGGGCGTTTGCTTACGTTTTTCCTCTTTAGCCAGTTTTGAGGACTGGAGCCGACGGGGGGCGAGTAGGGTCTGCACAACTCGGATAGTCACCACTGTCCCTAAGAGCCCCCATAGCAGGATGGAAGGCTCTAGAGGAGACAGCTGCATCCGCACCCAGTTCAGTGTCTGAGCTAGGGTATTGCTGGAGCTGCGGGCCCGGAGTGGACTCTTATCCTATGGAGACAAAGACCGAGAAAAGCTCACAAGGTTTATTCCTGCAATGGGCCGACACCCTGCTACCTCTCACAGACCAGCTCACTCCTTCATACCTGAAGTCCAAACTGTTGGAGCAGTGTCTCCAGTGCTGGGTCCCCTAGGGATACAGGTGGGAAGAATTCCTCTACCCACTGGCGGTTCCACCACTGGCTGTAACAGAACTGGACGGTGAGCATGTGGCCACAGCCCAGGCCCTGGCACCCCATCCAGAACTGCAGTCCTACCTTCGCTCCCCAGGCTTTGAGAACCAGTACTTATAGCGCTGGGCCCGCAGGTAGGTGGGTGGCTTATCATGAAAGGGATACTTGGCAACGTGGTTTTGGACCAGCCGGATCACTGTGGTGGGAGAGGAGAGCTGAACATGGCTCTGCACCTTTCCTTCCCTTCCCAGCCCCTCTCCCAGTCTACCCCTCACCTGGCTCCTTGCCCTGCAGGAGACGTAGCAACAGGCTGGTGAACCAGGGGCTGTGTGTATGTGGGCCGAGGGCTGCAAACCACATCTGCCAATCAAGGCGTGGCTGGTGGGGTATCAGGAAAGGGGGTGGTCGACTTACATTCCCAGGTTTGTACATGAATTCAATCTCCTGACAGATGGACAGATGGTTAGCTGGGAAGGCTGGTCTTGGTCCCTTTACCCCCACATCCTTTGGGAGGACTCACTGTCCAATGGTGTCCATCATAGCTGCCCTCCAGTACCACTTCGGGCCGCCCACCCAGACCAGTCATCCGGCGGAAAAGGCCATATGAGTTGGCCAGTTGAAGATGCTCCACGGAACTGAACAGGCGATGAGCCCCAGTCCAGAGACGCCCATGGGTCCCAGGCTCCACATAGGAGTAAGGTACCTGTAGGCAAGAAGGGAATAGCTCAGTGCTGCTCCTCTTACCCTCAACCCCGTTCTCTACAGTGTTACCTACTAGGCTGATCAAGAACAAGGCCACCGTGGCAGTGCCCAGGATGGAGAGCTGGATACTGGCAAAGAACTTCCGAAGCCATCCTTGTACGTGAATCCACCTGGGAACAGGGAGCCCAAGTACGGTCAGGCCTGTTCTGAAAGCAGCCTCTTCCCCACTGCCTTCAGGCACATACATACCTCCAGAGGGCAACGAGTAACTCCCAAGCCAGGGAGGCTGCCCCCAGCCACACAGTAGGCAGGGTTATCATCTTCAGCCACTGGGAGAACTGGTGGAAGGTGAAGGCTGCCAAGGGAGGGGACTGTGATTAGCAGACCACCCAGCCCTTTTCCTTAGATCCCCGGGTTGGCACTCACTGGTTTTAGAGACGATGATATGCTCCTGCCAGTCAATTTCCAGGCCAAAGTAGTGCACGGTGCCATAGGACAGCAGCCCATAGACAGTCAGTTCCAGCAGTAGGGATAGCATGGTCAGCAGGGCCTTGGGCCAGGCTATGGGAAAGGACAGTCACAGGTTGGCTGAGGGTCTGCAGCCAAGGGGCTGAGGTGGAGGTGGAGAAGGGGTTCTTTGGAAATACTAGGCAGATGATGTCAGATTGGTGGTCACGACAGGATGGCACTCACAGGTGGGCATCTTCTTGTGGCATCTGGGGCCAGGCTCAGCAGAGAGGTGCCGGTCATCCAGGAGGGTAGTGGTGAGCACCAAGGTTAGCAGGTTGAAGAAATTGTAGTTGCCAGTAATGATAATCAGGACTTGCAATAATGCCTACAAGGAAGGCCTACAGTCAGATCTATGGAGGGCTGTCCTTCCTGGGTCCTACTGACCTCCAGGCTGACATTTTCAGTACACAACCTGAACTGAGTAACACATCTCTCTGTCCACAATGCTTTCCCCACAGCACCCATCACCTGACCACTCCTAGGACTGCTCCATTCCCAACAAGACTCACTGGCCAGGGGTGAAGTCCACACCCTCTTCTACCCACCTGAGCATAGAAGGCAGTCAATCGCAGGCGACGGATCGGGGCGAAGAACAGAGGGGGCACCGCAATCTCGATGAGGAAGGTGGCGACCACGCTGAGCTTGTGCAGCCAGACTGGCAGGTGGTGGGCAAACCAGGCAGCAGGTGTGGGCAGGCACTGTGTCTCATAGTGGTAGGTGAGGGCTGCAGGTAATGGGTGGAGGTCAGGGCTGGTGAGAGCTTCCAGACCATCCCAGCTTCAGGCCCCGGTCCTTACCAGTGAGGCCCCACCACGCAGGGCAGCGGCTGGTCAGCTTGACCACACCAGAGGCGAACATGAGTCGAAACAGCAGCCAGCGCACGAGCCAGAACGGGAGGTCTTCATGGGGTAAGGACCCTGCTAATCCACCCTGGGGGTTCTTGTGGTTGGAAGGCTGCCTCAGTGGGGCTACCAGTATAGCCAGGAAGCCTGTCTCCAGCAGTAGGGAATCCCTATAGGGAGAGGAAATGTTATAAAGGGTTCCTCCCTGTTAAGGCTGCTTCCCTCACGGGGTCCTCCCAGAAGAGGCAAACATCCCAGCCCAGCCTCAGGCAGAATTGACCCAGGAGTCACTCACCACTGGAAATAAAGGAACACTTGGCCCACCTGTAGGAAGAGGAGCTGTTAGAGAGCCATTTTGTGTCTGCTGCGTCAGGTGAGGCAGAGTGGGCAGCTTAGACACAGGCTGGCACTTGCCTGGCACACGGACAGGTAGGCAGCCCAGAGCAGCAGGTAGATGAGGGGATGTCGCAGGGAGTTCAAGAGCAGGGGACCCAGGGCTAGCACGGTGCCCAATAGGGTCAGCAGATCCAGACCCTGGGCAGTATCCAGCCCCAGTCTTGGTGCCTCCCACAGCAGCGTTGGTGTTTCCCACAGCTGCTGCCATCGACCCTTGCCTTGGGGCCGCAGTGTTCTTCGAGCAGGAAGGATGCCTTCTGGGCCATAGAGGCCTGTGGGAGGGCATGTCAGTTAGACACTGCCTTAGACACTGCCTTCCTAAACTAAATTCATCCGAGGTTAGGTCCTGAAGATGCTCATCACCAGCTCCAGTGCCTCCAAATGTTCCCTGCACTCCAGGTTGTGCCTGAAGATGTTCCCACCCCAGGTAAAACTTGCTCTGCCAGATGCTCACCCCAACCTCATGTCCAGAAGACCTTCCCCCAAGTAGAGCCCATCCCTTTCCTACCTGCCCCTCAGAGTCCAGGTTGAAATCTATCACCCATTTCCCTCGGGGTTCTTTAAGCCTAGACGAGAAACCTAATAGTTACGGGAAACCCACCCTGGACACCTTTCTCCTTTGGCATTCTGGTTGCCCGCAGTACACAAACTATCGTCCCCGGATCCCGAGTAGAGAGAGGCCTGGACTTCATACCCGTCTCAGAGAGCTCGTATGCAGGGTGAAGGAAAGGATGATACCACGTGTGAGCCTTCCACCCTCGGCGCCCTCACCTGGGATCTGGGTGTACAGGGACGCAAAGGCGAACAAGTAGACTGCGGCCACACCCTGTAGGAAAAGCTGCCGTGGGACCCGGGAGCTCGCCATGTCCGCTACGCGGTCCGCAGAAGCAATACCCGCTGGTCCCCCCCCCCCCCCCCCCCCCCCCGCCACTCCGCTACAGCTCCGCCTCTGCACCACGCCCTAGCTCAGATCCGTCCGGTCTGGTCCCTGAGCTCCAGGCGCTAAGAAATCCACCGCTAACCCGCCCATAAACTTAGCGTCATCGGCTAAAGGACCGCCCCAAACGCGTAGCCACGCCCCTCGCGTGGGCCCCGCCCCCTCGAGGGCCGCCTTTTTTTCCTCGTGTGCTTCCATTTACCTCTTCAAATCTGGGCTCGCATTACGTCATAGGTGTGCGCGCCGCGCCCTGGGGACGGACTTCCTGGGCGGGAACACCAAAATGCCGCCACAACCAGTGGCTGGTTAAGCTTGCTGGCCCTATCCGGAGCCAGAGTATGGTCCCGGGCCTGTAGTCCCTTTCTGGACATGGAGGATGTGGAGGTGCGCTTTGCTCACCTCCTGCAGCCCATCCGGGATCTCACTAAGAACTGGGAGGTGGATGTGGCGACCCAGCTGGGCGAGTATCTGGAGGAGGTGAGGGCGGCGGGGGAACGGCACGGGCCTGGGGACCCAGGCTGCACTGCCACCCTCCGCCTCCGGGTCTGTAGCCGTCTGGTGTTTTGTCCTCAGTCTTGTTTCTTTACTCCCTCAACTCCAGTCTGCCTCTCGAAACTTTCCTCAGTTATGATGATTCTGGAGCTGTCATTTTTATGTCTCTACCGGTTAGTGAGCTGTGTAATTGTTTTGGTTGGGTGATACTCATTTTTTTTTCCCAATAAATACATTACTTCCGTTTTCGTTTGGGGGGTGCAATAGATTAGGAAGCATGATTTTTGTTTTTTTTTTAATTTATTTTTATTTTTTTGCAGTGCTAGGCATTTAACCTACCTTTGTACAAGCTTGACAACTGCTCTATCACTAGCTTTTTTAACTTTTTTGAGGCCTTTTTTTCTTCTTGAGCCAGGCCGAGGGAGGCCTTAAACTCGAAATTTTGTCTCAGTCTCCCGGTTATTTGCAAGTGCTAATTGACCCTATCTGGACTCCTACTGTATTTGAGAGATCTGCATCCGGAAGGGAAAGGGTTTTCGGGTCTTAGACCTCATGCTCCGCCCACGTCTTCTCCCCAGCGTATCGGGGCGCACCCACACCCGGCGCTTGTAACTTGAGCCAGTTTTTTCCAGAAGGATCCGCCCCCGATATGTGTTGTAAGCTCGCCTATCAGCATTTCATTCCCCCATTTTTAGCTGAAGTGTCTTATCTCTTCAGGATCTGTCCGCTCGGTTTCTGCATTTTTCTCTCCTCAGCCCAAAATAATCGAATTCCAGTGCTGAATAGTTACAAATCGTGTAGTGGTCTTCTTTCAAGAGATGTGCGAAACGTCCTGTAATTCAGTTGGGGAGCATTTGCTGGTCTGATAACTGCCTTTTTGAAAGAGGACTCATAGGATTTCTATTTCACTGCTTCTTTTTATTTTTCTCTCTCAAGTGTTGAGCTTCTCGGGGTGGAGCCTTCTTTCCCTTAAAAATAGAAAATCTTCCTTGTGTGATTTTTAAAATACAGGGTTTCAACCCCATCTGGTGGGATACACCCATACTGCTCCTTGTAAGCTGTTCCAGTGCCACCAAATCTGTTTGTTCTAGCCACTCCCGTGGCATGTGCTGAAGCATTACATGAGCGCTTGGGTTTAATTTAAAGTGGAGCCTTTGATTTTTGGTTCAAATTCTAGCCATCTATTTTGGTAAAGAGTTTTACAGTTATATTGCCAGGATATCACTTCAGCTCGTCTGTTTCCCATTATGTCTGGTCTAGGCCTATTAAACCTAGATATTTAAAACATTATCCAAGTTCCTAGATGGACACCATCCAGTATGAAGAATTAAAACTGGAGACAGGGATGGGGTGTAGTGAACTGGAGAGATGGTTCATCAGTTCAGAGCACTAGCTGGTCTTCCAGAGGACCTAGGTTCAATTCCAAGCACCCACAGGACAGACCAGACCTATCTGTAACTCCAGTTCCAGGGCATCCAGTACTGCCATCTGGCCTCCACTGGCACCCAACACAGAAGTGGTGCACAGAATGCATGCAGGCATTTTTTAGAAAATTAAATCATCTCTAGAGAGATGACTCTGGTTAAGAGTACTTGCTGTTCCTGCAGAGACCCTGGGTTTGGTTCTCAGAGCCGAACTCATACACCTTACAATAGCCTTTAACTCTACTTTCAGGGATTCTAGGAACATCTTCTGGTCCCATGGACCCTTGCAAGAGTATGCACATCTTTGGGGGAAAAAATGTAGTGAGGCCACAATATTGCTTTGTTTAAAGCCCTCAGGTTTTCACTGCATTTGTTGCTCAGTAGTTGTGGCTTTACCTATGGATGTTCTTTCCCTTGTGTGGTTTTGTGTTTGTTTGCTTTTGTCATTTCATTTTAGTACGCGCATGGGCGCATGTATGCCAGCGTGCTTGTGGGAGTCAGATGACAGCTTGTGGGAGTTTGTTTCCCCCCCCAAGACAGGGTTTCTCTGTGTTTCCCCTGGCTGTCCTGGACTTGCTTTGTAGACCAGGTTGGCTTTGAACTCAGAGTTCAAACTCCACCCTAAATTCTGAGTGTAAATTTTAAAAGGGTGGAGACTACATATATGCTTTCTTCTACTTTGTCAAATGCCTGACAGATATTAGGTACAGGATAAATGCTTATTAAATGAACGTGTGATCTGACGATCAACCTGCACTGCATAGGTGGTTGAGAAATGCCAAGAACAGTGTTAGGTCAGGCTGTGGAATCCGTTTCTATAAAAGGGTCTGAGGGGACACCTATGAATTTGCTTCCTGGCTTGGTCAGCCCTTCTGCTTTACATAAAACTTCTTTTCTACTGCCAGGTTTGTTGACATTATTTCTGTGACTTTAGTACGTGGTAGGTGGAGATAGGAGGATCAGTTCAATATCATTTTTGGCTACAGAATAAATTTGAAGCTAGCCTGAGCTATATGAGACTTTCAAATTTTAAATAACAAGAGTGTGACTATTCTACATCTCCTGACACTTTGATATCTTGGCCACTGGTGCTGTCCATGTTCTCTTTTTGTTACCAGTGTGTTCTAACATACCTTATGACATTACTTTCTTTTATTTATCCATTGTTGGTAAGTATTTATTGTGTGACAAGAACTGCCTTTAAAAAAAAAAAAAAAGGATGACAAGCAAAGCAAAGAGTAATCCATGCTTTGATAAAATTCCTGCTAATAGGGAGGATGGGTATCAAAGTAGGAACCACATTGTTGGATATTGTTTGGCCTAAGCATTGTTTCTTTATGTCTTATAGAAATCAATGTAGTCTTTACAACAAAATAGTCATTAGCAAGATTAAATGATATGCTGGAAGTCACAGTTGATAGTGGACAAAGCAGATCTATTTTCCCCCACTGTCTGTATCTCTGTGTTGTTACAAACAAGTGTTAGATTGGAAGGAAAAGCTTAGGATACTATGAAGGCTTTGACTGAGGGACTTGATTTTATCTGCGGTAAAAGCAGGTGCCATGTCTGGTAATCTGAAGCAGTCTAGAGGGGACATGGTACTTGCCTCAGTGGAAGAAATGAAAGTACAGCTCATAGGGGAAGATTGGTAGTTGGAAGAGACTGGTGAGTTTAGAGACATCCCTTGGAAGCCTTGTTTAGAATTTCTATTTTTTTCCCCTTAGTGGCAGGAAGCCTGTAAAGAGCAGACAGGAAAAGACTGGAGGTCTGGGAGAGCCCCGTTTGAGGTTAGGCGGGGTCAAAGCAGCTGGCATTAGTGAGTAAGCTGAAGTGGTAAGGGTCTGATGCTAGGTTGAACGGGCAGGTGAGCAAAAGAAGAGAGGAGCTGAGATCCTTCAGTTTCTGGGGTTCAGTGGGGATGCTTGGAGTCCAGCATGGACCTGTTCATTTGACTCTTGTTTATCAAAATCTGGATAGCTGAATAAGACAGGTGGACATATGGGATAAGAGTGTCTGCAAGAACACTGAGTTCAATCCCCAATACCTTGAGGAACAACTGTTCTGTGGGGTGTCTTGATTTTTTTTTTTTTCCTGAGATCCTCAGTAGGTATTTGTAAATAGAACCCCTCAGGAAGAAAGCTGTTCTGAGGATAGGTTTAGCAATTGTTGACACGTGTATGGCTGGTAGCTTGAACAGGGTTGGACAGATGCACATGTTAGAAGGTTTGCATCTGCCCATTCCTGTTCAAGGGGAAAAAATTAACCAAGACACTGGTTAAGAGCCAAGGCTCATAGAGGCCAAGAAGGATTGCAGAGGAGAGCTGCTTATGGCACCATTTCCTGCTTTTTCCAATCAAAAGATAGAGAGTACTGTATTTGTCTCTGTCTTCTTTTCCTTCTCTTAGGGTAAAGGGTCTTTCTGCTGGATTCTGTCCCAGTCAGTTTTTGTACCTGGGTGGGTACAATGTGGAGGGCTGATGAGAGCTGGTATGCAGTATCCTTTGGAGACCCCCTTCTTCCAAAACACTTGGTCTCAAAGGATCCGGGAACTAGGAGAATCACAAAGATCTAGCTTTCCTCTAGAAATACCCAGAGGTACCTGGCAAGATTAAGACTTGCAGCTATCTGTGTTTGTGCGTGGTAGATTGAGCTGCGCTGGGAGGAAGTGAGCAGAGGCTTCTGTACTGTATCTGATTTCCTTTGAGACTGTTCCAGGTAGACCTTGAATCCTGCCTCAGTCTCCCAACTGCTGGGATCATAGGCACTGCCATCAAGTCCAGCTCACTAATGTTCTTTCTTGCAGCTGGACCAGATCTGCATTTCTTTTGATGAAGGCAAAACCACAATGAACTTCATTGAGGCAGCACTGTTGATCCAGGGCTCAGCCTGTGTCTACAGTAAAAAGGTGGGTTCCACGTACTGCTGCTGTTTGTGCTTTAGTGTTGGGCCCCTTTCAGGGCAGCAGCAGTGTGCAGTTATCTGTAACCTGCCTATACTGTGGGTCACGCTTCAGATTGCTTCACAGCTTTCAATGCCAAAGTAAACCTGGAGTTTATAGTTTGCTTTTTTGAGATCCATTCCATGCATCCCAGGCTGATGTTAAACACTATCTATATCCGAGGAAGATAACCTTGAACTTCTGGTGCATTTCCCTCCATCTCCTGGTGTGTTAGTATGACAATTGTAAATTACCATGTCCAATTTTTGCAGTCCTTGGGCTGGGGGTCAAAGCTAGGGCTTCATGCATGCTTCACCAACTGAGCTATATCCCCAACATGTTGCGTTTGTTTTTTTTTTAGACAGGGTTTCTGTTAGTATTTATTTTAAAATAATGCCACGCACACAACAGATGTTATATGAAAGAGATTTATTGGATGGTGGTGGAGAGATAGAGAGGAAAAGGAAAGAGAGAGACGTGGTTGGGGGAGGGAAGGGGGCGCCCCAACAGAGAAAGGAGAGAGAGCGAGAGCAAGAGGGCAAAGTAAGAGGCAGGGGTCCATTTATAGCTCCTGCGCAGATGAACCATGCCTGCCAGGTGTGTCTATCTGGCCAGTGACACATGATGACATCATAGATTGCTAGGCAACCCAGAAGCAGGCTGCCTAAATACTAACAGTTTCTCTGTGTCATCTTGGCTGTCCTAGACTTGCTTTGGAGACCAGGCTGGCCTCAAACTCACAGAGATCCGCCTGCCTCTGTCTCTCCAAGTGCTGGGATTATAGATGTGCATCACTGTGTGGCTTCCAAATCGTTGGCTTTTGAGGCAGGATTTTATTAGCTCAAACTGGCCTTGAGCTTACTCTGTGGCTGAGGCTTGCCTTGAACCCCTGATACTCTTGCCTTTGCAACTCAAGTGTTTGGATAGCAGGCATGTTCTACAATGCCTAGGTAAATTTGAGTTTCAAATGGCAAGACCAAGAGATGGTTCAGCTGGCAGAACTCTGCTGTATAAGCATAGTGCTCCTGCTCAAGCAGTCTTCCTCCTCATGGTGACTCTCATGCTGACCTCATCCTCTTCTCTCTGCTCCGCCAATCAGAGATGATGGAGAACAATTTTTATATTACTCTTCTTCAATAGTAAGGACAATGCAACCAGATCTCTGGGCGCAGAAATCAGCATCTGAATACACAATGCACAAGACCAACCCCCAACTGGAGACCAGTAAGAAGCAAGTGAAAAATCAGGTGGCCATGGTGAACACCTTTAATCCCAGGCAGAGGCAGGCAGATCTCTGAATTTGAGGCCAGCCTGGACTACAAAGCGAGTTCCAGAACAACAAGGATTACACGAGAAACCCTTTCTCAAAACAAACAAACAAACAAACAGAAAGGAAAAAGAACGAAAGAAAAGAAGCAAGTAAAAGATCAAGCTGGTCCACTATGGACCTTGTGTTCTCAGAGGGCCATAGAGACTCACAGCACCTTCCTGCGAATAGGGTTCCCTAGCTAGGAGAAGGAGCTGCAGCTGGCTTTGGCCTGGGCGAAAGAACAGTGGGTACTATGTGTGAGACTCTGCTCCATGCATGGTGAGCACCCATTGTCACATGGCCATGACCTGTGTCAAGGAGGCTGTACTTGTGTATTTGTGGACTATGAGACAGGGAAGAGGTAGAAATCCCAGCTGACAAAGTAATTCTGATGAGACTGATTTGACTTGACTTCATTATTTTTGTTGTGTACATGTGTTCTGTGCATGTATGTGTACATGAGTGTGGAACCTTGAAATTGATGTCTTGTTTCTTTACTTGATCTCTGTCCACTTTTTTTTGGAGACAGGGTCTCTCACTTAACCTGAAGCTTACTGATTCCTTTGTGAGCCTCAGGACTCCTTTGTTTTGTTTTGTTTTACTGAGACAGGGTTTCTCTGTATAGCTATGGTTGTCCTGAACAGTACAAGACCAGTTTTGTAGACCAGGCTGGCCTTGAACTCACAGAGCTCTGCCTGCCTCCGCCTCTCTGAATGCTGGGATTACAGGCATACACCATCATGCCTGCATTTAGGGCCCCTTTTATCTCTGTTGTCCTAGCCTTCCCCAAGTCTGCGGTTACAAGCATGCACTTCCATGTTTAGCTTTTTAACTTGAATTCTGAGGATTCAAACTCAGATTCATGTGTTTGCTTATGGTTTCATCTGGTACTTATGTGTGTGGGTGTGTGCACATAAGTGCAGGTACTCTCTGAGGCCTAAGGCATCAAATTCCCCTGGAGTTGGAAGACTGCTTGAACTTGGACTGGTTGTGAGTAGCTGCTGTGGATGCTGGAAACCAAATTCAGGTCCTCTGAAAGAACAGCAAGCACTCTTAACTGCTGAGCTATTTCTCAGCCCCAGAGAATTATTTTTATGTTTGTATTTTCGTGTTTTTGTTTGTGTATCCATTTGCCTTGTTTTCAGACAGTAGCTTGGCATACAGCCCAGCCTGGCCTTGAATCTAAGATTCTCTTGCTTTAGCCTGTGAGTACTGGAGCAAGCTTGTCAAGTTTTTAGTTTGTTCTTTTGAGATGGGGTCTCACACTCTAACCCAGAACTTATTGATGCATTGACTGGCATCAAACTCATGATAATCCTCCTGTTTCCATGTGCTGAGGTTGCAGGCATATACCACTACTCTGAATAGTGGGAATTACTTAGTAGTAGGAAAACCGCTTGACTTGTATGGAGATTTGGAGGTGATGGCCAGATTTGGTGTGTACTAGTAAGAAAGGTCTCCTGCTCTGGGGGATGTTCCCAAGCAGCATTTTGGATAGGCCTGTCCTTTCCACATCTTTACTGCCTGCCTCTGGTTGCCAGGTGGAGTACCTCTACTTGCTGGTCTACCAGGCTCTCGATTTTATTTCTGGCAAGAGGTGAGTACTACAAATGAGCCCTGGGGAAGAGGCTGTCATCTTCTTAACTGTGCCCTGCTTGCAGCTTGGGAGGCTCCTGAAGCTTCCCAGGATGTCCTTGGTATGTTTTACTCTCTCAGGCAAGCCAAGCAGCTCTCTGTACAGGAAGATGGGAGCAACAGGGCTGTCAATTCAAGGACGCCCGATGAAACAGAGGATGAGGTGAGTTGGGGCATGTAGACTCTGCCCTGTGTGTTTGCCTGGCCCTGCTCCCATGTGTACTTGCTCTCTCCTGCAGCTCCTGTCACTGGATGACTTCCCTGACTCCCGGGCTAATGTGGATCTGAAAAATGACCAGGCATGCAGTGTGAGTGTCTTGGTCCTTGTAAGGTGGGGATGGCAGTCTTAGTGCTGTCCCGTGTAGAACTCAGAGCTCTCCCCTCCCCACCCACAGGAGCTGCTTATCATACCCCTTCTGCCCATGGCCCTGGTGGCCCCTGATGAATTGGAAAAGAACAACAGCCCCTTGTATAGGTACAACTTTGAGCTAGCATGGGAGAGAGGGGCAGGAAGCCTGCCTGGAAGGGCCTCTGCAGCAAGTATGTTTTTGCCAACACAGTTGTCAGGGTGAGGTCTTGGCCAGCCGGAAGGATTTCAGGATGAACACGTCTACCCCTCACCCCAGAGGCTCCTTTATGTTGGATCCAGTGGGGATGTGTCCTGTGGAGCCTGTGGATGTCTACCCCGTGACAAGCCAGAAAGGTAAGGGTTTGGATGTGGGGCTTAGTGGGGAGGAAGCAGTGGAAGTCTCTCTTCTGGGAGACTACTGTTGGGTGCTTTATGCCTGCCATCCCTAGTCTTAGAAGCTGTCTCAAACTTTGTATAGGCTGGCCAGAGCTTCTCTCCCTCATCTTTTTTGTACCTTGATTGCCAGACAACAAGGTTATAGCTCAACTCAGTACTGGGGGTCTGGTACCTGGTGTTCTCCTTAGTCCCGGGCTTGGGGCCTTCTGGGTTCTGCTTTTGCTTGATGGTCTAGAAAGGCTCATTGGGACCAGTGGGGGACCTTGAAGGGGTGGCGCTGCCCCTGACCAGTTTACTATCTATCTCTCCCAGATGCTGAGGAACAGCCAATGGAAGTTTGTAGGAATGGCAGTCCTGTTCCTGTACTCAACATCTCCCAAGAGCCAGGTGAGAAGAGAGCATCAGGGAGACAGAACTTAGCGGAATCTGATTTGGGTGCTCTCAGTTTCCCCGCCTGTCTTGTCTGCTTCCTGTTCATTGGTTTTTGGGGAACGTCCTAATAGTAGCAGGTACAGTCTTCTGTGCTGGGGCTCAGTCTTCAGTGAAATTTGCTTTCCTGGGTCTCTTCTGGGTAAATGTAGGTGGCAACAAAGAATATTTGTAGTTTGGTTGTAGCACCAGGGTTCAGTCCCCAGCATTAATAAGTAAATAAACAACTACATAAATATTTGCGAAAAATATGGTAAACTAACCAAAGCATGCCAGTATGAGGAAGAGAGGATAAAGCCTGGTTCAGTTTTTCAAGTGCTAACGTGATGCTGAGGAGAGATGGCCTGCCTATCTCCTCTGCGAGTTGGCCGTGAGCCCCCTCATGGGAGCTCCATCTGCTGCCTAGCCTCCAGCCTCTTTAGGGCTAACTGGTTTCTTGGTTCCTGCCCAAACATTTCTCTAGAAGGCCCAGTGCTCAGCGGTGGAGATGAGGATGCAGAGGATGTAGCAGAGCTTCCGGAGGTTGCTCTAGAGCCTGCAGAGCCCAGGACCTCACAGCAGGTGGGATACCAGTGAAGCTGCAGAGCTCAAGCTGTCAACGGAGCAAGCCTGGTCCTGGGGCAGAATTAACATTACATGGGACAACAGTGTAGTGATCTTGGCCCCTGTCTGGCATATTGGTATTGTCCATCATTCTAATTTTGCAGATCCTCTCAGAGGGGGTGTTTATCCAAAAGTCTGGCCATTCTGCAGACAGGCTGTTTAACGGCAGCCTCCCTCTTTAAGTAGAATGGCAGTTTTTCCTTGAGGACACACTGGCATTCAAGGCTCTTATCTCTGTGGAGCTCCTAGCACCTGCCATATCAGCTGATCCCCCAAGCTCGCTGTAGTCACACTGACAGCAGAGGATGGGTCTGGAGGATTTTGTCCCCACGGGGGTGTAATCTACCCCAGACAATTAGGAAATTTTTATTTATTGAACACAAACAAACAACAAACAAAACAAAACCCCTTGAGGCTGGGGATGTAGCTGCGTGCTGGAATTCTTCACTAACCTATGGGAAGCCCTGAGTTTAATCCCCAGCACTATAGTAAGAATACGGTAAATAACTAGCAGCCTGTAGAGATGGCTCAGCAGTTAAGAGTGTGTACTGGCTTTGCAGAGGGCCCAAGTTCTGGTCCCAGCATGCGTGTCAGGGAACTGTTGGTCACTCCAGCTCCAATAAGCATCTAGTACCACCTCCACAGGCATGTGCATTGACTGCCTCCCCACATACATACAGAATTTTTAAAAAAAAATACCACCCAGGCAGGGTCATTGATGCTTGTAATCCTTAAACCCTAGGGACTGAGGCAGGATTGTGAAGGGTTTTAGGCCAGCTTAAGCTACATATTGAGAGCCTGTCTTAAAAACAAAAAATCCACTGGTGAGCTAGGAAGATGGCTCAGTGGTTAAAACACTTGTTGTATAAGCATGGGGACCCACGGACCAGGGTTTAGCGCCCCAGAAACTACATAAATATTGTGGGTAGGTGCAGCAGCCTGTGGGGAATTTCAATCCTGGACGGTTGAGACAGCACACCCAAAACAAGCTGGCTAACAAGACTAAACATGAGAGTGTGTGATTCTCCCTTCTCCACCAAAAAGGGAGAAATTCTTTCTTCCAAAACCAATCTGATGTATTTAGGAGGAAATGGTAACATTTATTAATTCCGGATGGATGTTATAGTCTATTATTAATTTAGTTAGGTTTGGTTATTGGAGCTAGGGCCTCATTTTATAGCCCAGGCTAATCTTGAACTTGTGTGATCCTCTTGGCTCAGCCTCCCAAGTGTTGGGACAAGTATGAGCCACCATGCCAGGATATCATGCTCTCTCCTTGTTTGTTCAGTCACTTATATTTATGGTGCTAACTGTTGTGCCTAGTGTATTGTACATGCTACTATACTATAGAGTGACACACCAGCGATACTGCGTTTTTAAAGGAAAAATTTTCCGATGACTAGCTCTCCTTAGGATTGTTTATATTTGTGGATGTAGGGGCCAGAGGCTTGAGTTTCATTTAATTTCCTTTTATTTCATGTGTGTGAGTAAACATATATATATATGCGTGCATTCATGGTACCTGTGGAGGTCAGAAGAGGGTGTTAGGAACCAGACTTGGGTCCTGTGCGGGAGGAGCCAGGCTCTTAACTGATGAGCCATCTCCAGTTCCTGCCCTGTTTTCTGAGATAGGGTCTCATGAGGTCCTGGGGGCTCATCTGTTAGGCTAGGCCAGCCTGCCAATCAACTCCAGGAAGTGGCCTGTCTCCACCTCCCCAATACCACGCTTCTGCTTCTGTGCGAGATTGAGACCAAAAGTCCTACAGCAACCGTTTGCTCTGGTTGATTTTACCATGGCCCCTAGCTATAGGCTTCTGAACTTGTAGTGTGCAGGAAGGGACAGTGAGCTAGTGGGGCACATAGCCTGCTCAAAAATTTCGTGAGCCTTTGTGTTCCAGTCACACAGTTATACCATTATACAGTAATACAGAGGGCCCACGGTTTGTGCTTCTCTCTCCCAAGTGCTTTAGCACCTTACTAACTTGATCCATATGCTGAACTATACTGCTCAGATCTGCCAAAGCCTCTCTTGCGTCATCAAGATCACACCTCACCACAGGACTCCCAGACCCTTGCCTCTGTCCCCATACCAATCTCAAGGTCACTTCTTAAGACCTCTCCTGTGAACATAGTTCTGTGTGGCCTGGCAAATGGATGTTCAAACACAGCTGCTCCTAGTCCCGGTTCCCTTACAAGTGCTTTATCCTTCCTCTGCTAATTTTTCGTCCCCCGACATTTCTGCAGACCTCAGACAGGTAACCAAGTTCCTAATGGCTCTGATAAGCCAATCCTACTGATTCCCTCCATGTCTCTAGTTATGCATCCTTTGCCTTAAGGAGGAATGGGTAGTTACAGTATTCTTTTTCATTTTCTACCTCCATAGCTGTCAGGCCAAACCCATCCACTTCCATGTCCCACAACTTCACAAGCTAGGCTGTAGTAGGATCCTTTTTTTGGGTGTTGGGGGGGGGGAGACAGCCTCTTTCATTACTCCTTTAAAAGTGTTCCCCACCTCCAGTAGCTCAAGTACTGATTACCATAGCTTCTTGTACTGGGCCATTGTTATTTTCTGTGATCTCATGCTGGATCACAGAGTTTCCTTTTTTACCATTACAGGCCAGACCTGAGGGGTATTTTATCATGTTTTTTTTTTTTTTTTGAGACAGGGTTTCTCTGTGTAGCCTTGGCTGTCCTGGACTCAATTTGTAGACCAGGCTGGCCTCAAACTTACAGTGATCCACCTGCCTCTGCCTCCCAGAGTGCTGGGATCAAAGGCATTTGCCAACACGCCTGGCTTTGTAATCACATTTTGTCATGTTCTCCTCCTTACTCTTATTATTTCCATGGGTTTTGATTTCTTAGATCCCAGGAAGGGCTTTTGAATATGAATCTAATTTGTATGTTATTTTCCTTTCAGCCTCCAAGCTCTAAGAAATGGCAAGTCAGTGCCTCTATTTTATCATCTCATTTACCTGCCAGATCAGAGGCTAGCACGAGAGCTGCTAACTGTGTCTCCCTTTATTGTTGCAATTGCAATTTCTTCCTTATACAAACAAGTTCTTGCTTGGCTGACATCTCTACCTCAAGTACATTTCTTACTGTACACAGCAATGGCCAAGCAGCTTCCCCTGCCTTGTGCCGGTAATTTCCACCCTGGCGCACTGTCCGAGAGCACAGCATTTTCTCAAACCTTTCAGCTGTTTTCAGGGCATCTCCATATTCCTGTGATGGAACCCCCTCATCAAGCCAGGCATGCCATCCCATATCACATAGATGAAGGCTGTCACCCTGACATTCCCTTCTATTTCATCCTCTTTTGTTCTGTCACGCACCTGTTCAGGTGTCAGTTGGATGCTGGGTGACATTCTTTCTGGAGAGATGTGAATGAAGGCCTACTCACCCTGTACAGGGAACTTAAAAGCTGTAAGCCTGGAGCCACTGCACAGGCAGCACTTAAGTAGCTCAGCAGGTTGGAGAGTGGCCTTTGCTGATGGCTCAGCTTGTCTGAGCGTCTTATACACAGTTTGGCTGATCTCTGCTTCTAAACCTAAGTGTTTAGGCTGTTGGAGAACCTTCTCTCAGCAGTCTTCATTGTTTTTAAACTCTGAGGAGTTAGGGGCTTAGTGAATCTGGTCAGTTTTAGAAACTTCCTGAAGCTTTTGAGTTGTTTATTTCCTGAGCTTGAGCTTCCTTGCAGGACGGTTATGACTCATTACAGTAGCAAAATTAGGAAGTAGTAGTGAAAATACTTTTATGGTTGGGGGTCACCACAACATGAGGAACTACATTAAAGGGTCACAGCATTAGGAAGGTTGAGAACCACGGCCTTAGTGTAGCGGAAAGCCACCTGTAGCAATCTGTTTCTGTTTTTTAATTCTGTTTGGGGTATTTAAGCCTCTACCTTCCTTTCAGTAATCACCAACTTTAAGTTGGAGAAAGAAAATGTTAGTGGGTGGAGGGGACCCAGACCCCTTTACTACTTCCAGCTATTTAGGGTCAAGGGGTTCTTTTAGGGCTCTATACCAATCTCCATGTCACTGCAGCCTGAAACATTTCTCTCGTCTGTCTTCTCCAAACCATCATACCATCTCTGGTCTCTCCAAACTGCTCCATGCCACACATCAACACCGAACGCCACATGGTCGCTTTCTCGCTCTCATATTTATATTCTCAGTGTCCTAGGCCACCTGCACATGGAAGGACGTTACCAGCTGGCAAGGATCACACCCCACACATGACAGTTAACGGGTGTGGACAAACTATAGCCCAATTAAAATCCCACACTTGGGATTCAAACAAAAGCATTAATACAGAAAGAAACCAAAACTTCCATTACACCTTAGACTTTATGTGAATATTAGGGACTGAACTCAGGTACTCATGCTCACAGGGCACCTACCCTTTTCCCAGGCCCTCCTTAAAATTTTTACTTTTTGATTTTTGATTAAGGCCCTAAGAGGGTCCTTGAACCAGGCGCACATGGTTTTGATGTGAGCCTAAGCAGAACCTCTGGGATCTTGAGAGCCTTGGGTGGATAGGAGAGGAGAGCCTATGGGCTATTTCTTGCAGGATGTCACCTTGCCAAGGAGATACATGCTGAGGGAACGACAAGGGGCCCTGGAACCTTCCTCCCGGCTACAGGTAAGGAAGGCCAGGTCCCTGTGCCCTGGCAGGAGGGTATGTTTAAGGACATCACCCGTCCTGTCTTTGCTCTGTTGGTCTTCAGACCAACACTTACTTCTTCCAGAAATTTAAATCCTTCACCATGCAGCTCTGGGCCTCTGATCCTGGGTGTCACCACGTTTCAGCTCTGGTAGGGAGGGCTTATGCTTTCCCCGACCCAGCTTCTGCTTTTTTGTGTGTTTTAGGAGACCCCAGACCCCTGGCAGAGCCTGGACCCCTTTGACTCCCTGGACTTTAAGCTCTTCCAGAAAGGTAAGTAGGCTTGGTGGTACCTCACTCATGCTCCCCTGCCTAGGGATACTGAGTTAATGAGGTAATGGATAGGAGGTGGGTTCTGTATCCCCTTTCCTTGGCTACTCTTGAGGCAATCCCCCTCTGCCTCCAGGGAAACCCTATTCTGTGCCATCCTGTGTGGAAGAGACGCCAGGACAGAAGCGCAAGAGGAAGGGTATCACCAAGCTACAGGACTTCCACCAGTGGTACCTAGCTGCCTGTGAGTGAGTGGGCTAAAGCGGCACACCCTTTTGCCTGAGTGCTGCGAGTTTTGGCCTGGCTCTTGCTAACCACTCTCTCACAGATGCTGAACATACTGAAGGCAGGAGGCTTCGGCGGAAGGGCCCAACCTTTGCAGGTGAGGCTGCGGTCTTGTGTACCTATTCCGAGAAGATAGTCTTTACCTACCTTCCCCAGCTCTACCCCCATCCTCCCTGCCAGGGTCACTTGAAGTTCTGGGTGGACAAGTGTGAGCTTGGGCTGGATGGGGAAGCTCCTCAGAAGGTCTTTGTCTGCAGACATGGAAGTCCTGTACTGGAAACATGTAAAAGAACAACTAGAGACCCTTCAGAAGCTGCGGAGACGTAAGGCAAGTACCCAGAGTACTTGTACCCATAGTCAGAGACCCCACAGGGCCTGGAAGATGAGTTTCCTCACACATGTTCTCCGGATAGGTGACTGAGAGATGGCTGCCCAGGGCCAAGGAGGATCTATGGCCTGTAGAGGAGGAACGCTTGGAAGAGTCCCTAGAAGAACTAGGGGTAGCAGGTAGATGCCTGTTGATGGGCCGTGGGGGGAGGGTGTTCATGTTCTCAGCACCTACTGCTGGCTGAGCAGCTGCCTGGTCACCTCTCCCATGTCTCAGCAGATGACTTTCTAGAGCCTGAAGAGTATGCAAAGCCTGAGGAGGTGATGCCTGGGGAAGCTGCTGACCTAGGTAGGTCTGGGTGCTGAGATAGTACTGAGATGTGCTGAGGGAGCAACAACTGCAGGAGGGGAGAACATGTAGCCCTATAGCTGCAGCAGCTCATGGTTGGGCTTTCTAGATGCAGAGGCCATGCCAGAGTCCCTGAGATACGAGGAGCTGGTCCGAAGAAATGTGGTAGGCCTGGGTCACAGAGGTGGGAGCCGTGGGGGCCTCCTGGGTCCTTAGGTGCAAGGGAGAACCCACTGGTCCTTCTGCAGGAACTCTTCATTGCCACCTCCCAGAAGTTTGTTCAGGAGACAGAGCTGAGCCAACGCATCAGGGACTGGGAAAACACCATTCAGCCCGTGCTCCAGGAGCAGGTGAGGCATGCTGTTTGCGAACTGGAGCCTCCTACCACCAGCCTTTGCTTTGTCCAGAACTGTCTTTCCACTTGGAGCTAACATGTCCCTTTCCTGTGTAGGAGCAGCACGTGCCCTTTGATATCCACACCTATGGGGACCAGTTGGTTTCACGGTTCCCCCAGCTCAATGAGTGGTGTCCCTTTGCAGAGCTTGTAGCTGGGCAGCCTGCTTTTGAGGTGTGCCGCTCCATGCTGGCCTCCTTGCAACTAGTAAGTGGCCTGGGGTACAAGGGATGGGGAGACACCCCTGGACTCTGCTGATGCCTCGTCTCCACAGGCTAATGACTATACGGTGGAGATCACCCAGCAGCCAGGACTGGAGGCAGCTGTGGACACCATGTCTCTGAGACTGCTTACACACCAGCGAGCTCACACGCGCTTCCAGACCTATGCTGCCCCATCCATGGCCCAGCCTTGAGTGCAGAGTGCTGAGGCAGGGGTGGAAGGCAGTACATACATGGAAGCCTTGTGCCCCTAATGTGCTGTGGGGCCATCTACTCCAGTGCTGCCTACTGGCTGGCCTAGCCTAATAAAGTGGTATTGCTACCGTACCTGTTCACCCAACAAACCACTTAAATGGACTGCTGGTACAGAGCACACACACATACACAGATTAAGTACATCCATTTAATAACAGGGCCTAGGCAGTATCTATAGATCAGGACAGGATGCTGTGGAAGGAAGCTATATGCTGACGTACACTGTCTACAATCTGCTCTGCTGACCTGCTCCGACCATAGTAGTCGGTGAAGAGACCATCTGGGTTGAGCAAGTAGATGGCAATAGAGTGGTCCACAATATAGTCCTGGTCCTCATCCTTGGGGCCAGCACTGTAGTACACACGATAGTTGCGGCTAGCCTGGGCCACTTGTTCTGTAGAGCCAGTCAGACCCAGCAGTCTGGGGTGGAAGTCCTGCACATACCGGGCCATGGCTGCTACGTCATCCCTTTCTGGGTCCACAGTGATGAAGACAGGCTGCACCAGGGGCAGGCCAGGCTCTGCCTCCAGCTTCCGCACCACCTGCACCAGCTTTTCCAGTTCATCAGGGCAAATATCAGGGCAGTGAGTGAAACCAAAGTACATCAGCACCCACTGGCCTCGGAAGTCAGCTTTGCATCGGGGCTTGCCTTTGTGGTCCAGTAGGCTGAAGTCACCCTGGCCCACAGCAGCCTGGCGCAGGGCCTCTGTCCGTTTCTGTTGGCGCCACTGCTCCTTCTCTGCTCTTGCAGACAGCCAGGCCCAGCCCAGCCCAGCCCCAAACAGGGAGGTGATCAGCAGTCTAGTTCTTAGCCCAGGGCCTTGGGGCTGGCCCTGTCCTGACCAGTGCCTAGACTTTACATACAGAGTTTCACCTCCTGGGATCCTAAGAAGGACTCGAGGTTTGACGTGAGAGAGCTTGGGCCAAGCTTTGGGCCCTAGAGCCAGTAGCATCATGGACCTAAAGCTCCTGGAAAGAACAGAGGTGCCAGAAGTCAGAAAAGAACAAGGTGCCTGGGCCTCCAGTGCTGGAGAAGCTTGTCACCCCACAGTCAAGCAGGTTAGTCAGCTGTCTGCACGAGGTCATCTGAACTCAGAACTGCTCAATCTCAAGCCTTTAGCTGCAGTCTAGGCAACACCAATGTCTAGAGCTGGTTTGTTCCAATTGACACTCCTAGTTCTTTAACCAGGGAGCCTCATCACCCCAACCTATGGAGAACCCGCACATCAACTGCCAGGTTTCCCTGTGGATGTCTTGGAAGCATTGACGATATGCTTTGCCTGAGCACTAGAACATATGTGTCTATTTACACTAAGTTTTAAGGGAGGATGTTGATGCTCTGGCTTACTACCTTAAAGAAACAATCCTTTCAAGCTTCAAGGGTTACTTCAGGGTGATCTGGGGCTCAGTAGAAAACAAGTGCCACCAATGTCACACAGCCCCAGTGCCTTGAACTGTGTCCTACCTTCACCTTCCTGGGCAGACTCATGTCTACATATCCTGCACCTCTGAAGTCCCTCAGCCTGTGACATGAACTTTTTCGGCAAGGCCCTGAGGCTTCGGCAAGGGAACATTGTTGCGGCTACCATGTAGAGCCACCAGGGCTCAGTTATGTTGCCCCGGCTTGGCTCTTCTCTGAGATGGCTCTGAGGATAGGAGGCAGCACATGTTCAAGGCACCGACTGTCCCTGAGCTGGGACCACCGTGAGAAGATGCGTTTGGTAAATATTCACAATACATCCTTTTTCTAGGCCACGGCAGGGCTCTAGCTCACCGAAGTGCACTGGATGAGGCAGTTAGCAGCACCCGCATAAACAAACTGCAGGGGTCATGTTAACTGTGTCCGCAACTAGTGCCGCCCCTGGGTGGGAGGTTTGCCCAACTGCAGAACACACCTGCTGTGGTGGGGTAGCGATTTAGGGCTGTGCGGTGGTCGCTGGGAGGACCAGCTCAGCGAACGGTGAAGGGGCCTTGAAGGGTGCTCGGTCTGACAGCACGAGCGCCCCCTGTAGAGCGAGGCGCTGCTGGCTGCTGAGCGCAGGGCCGTCTAGGTGCACGCGGAGCCAGGGTGTCCCTGCGAAGGCGACGGAAGCGGTTACCTGGGTCACAGCGGGCGACCCGAAGGGTAGGAGTGGTTACGGGTTCCCGACAGCGCTTACCGCGGTACAGCCACTGGCCCACGTCGACCAACAGCTCGGCACCCACTCCCGGCCTGATCGGCTGCCCAGCCTGGATGCGTCCGGCTCCAAGCTCGTGCAGCACACGGGCCAGCGGCAGCGCGAGGACGCACTCCACAGTGCCTAAGGAAGAAGGCGGGCGCATGTGACAGGACCCGGAAAGACGCGAGGAAGTGGGTGGGGCCTGGTGCCGAGGATATCCGGTCTCACCGTCTGCGGGTGCGAGCAGCTCTTCTCGCTGCCCGGCGTGAGGCAGCAGCTGGCGGCGTTGCTTAGGGCTCCCGGAGCACAGCGCTCTGGCTAGGGCTGGGTCCACGCCCTGCGCCGAAAGCATCAGCTGGAAGCGGCGCAGCGCAGAGCCGTCATCTAACGCCGCGGCCACTCGGGCGGCGCCCTGATCTTGGGTTTCCGCCTGTCCGCTAAGCCAAAGGATGGCGCTCCCTGCGGACGGGCGGGGCGGAGCTCAGAAGCTGCAGGAACTGTAGAAGCTGAAGGGGTTGAGAGCTCCTGGCGTGCAGATAGGCGGTCTCAACCCCAGCCCTCTCACCTAGCCTAATAACCAGTTCCCGTAGATCCGGCGGCCCCGCACCATCCAGGCAAAGCAACGCTTCTTCCACTTCCAGGGTATGGCCCACGCTGCGGCCCAGAGGGTTATCCATGGCAGTCAGAGCTGCGGCGACCCGCAGCCCCAGGCCAGCTCCCACGCTAACCTGGGGAGGCACTACTCAGTGGCCAGCCGGCGTTATCAAATCCCATACCCGCTGCCCCTGGGTAAGGATATCAGTAAAGGCTTAGGGTGGCGATCGGAAACCAACACTGCCAGGCCTCGGGGGGTGGGGTGGGGTGGGGTTGGGTTGTTTTGTCGTTAGCCCTAAGTGGAGGGCCTCTGTGGAAGATTTCCCCAGGCCCAAGGTCAAGACATCTTTGATTGGATAGGGTAGGAGGTCTGGAAAGAGGGATTGCCAGTTGGTTCTACCAGGAGTGTTGAGTGGGCAGAGGGGCAGGGGTAAGACGCAAGGTGACGTCCACAGCCCTTCATAGAAAGGGCACGGAGGCCAAGCATGGGCTCACCAACGTCTTTGCCAGCTCTCGGGCCTGCTCCTGGTCAGGGAAGACTGCAGCCCCCCCAAACTTAACATCCACTATCAGAGTGGACAGTCCCTCCACGGCCTTCTTACTGAGGATCGAGGCTGCGGAGAACAGAAACATCATCCCAGGGTATACCTAGGGACGAGGAGAGGTTGCCTCTACGACAGAGGTCGGTGCCTAGCAGGTTGCAGGTCAGTCAGGGCACCCCATCTCAGGTCACCTGTAATGAGTGGCACGCTGTCCACAGTAGCTGTCACGTCTCGTGCAGCATACAGGATCCCATCAGCAGGAACCAGCTTTTCACTCTGGCCAACAATGCAGCAGCCCACTTCCTCAAGGATCCGCCGCATCTGCTCAGACACCCTCAGTGACCTCTGAGGAAGGACCCTTTCACTGGCCCCGACCATTGACCCAGCAAAAGTTCAAAACATGGTGTGTTGAAAACCTGATTCTGATGTTTGGCCCGCAAAGGATCCTGATTACTTCTGACACATTAATGTTTAGCAGCTCAGTCAGCATTTTCTAGCCGTTCCCCTGTGATGACCCTGACCAAAGTTCTCTCAGTGATTTCTCCTGGGCTTATCTACAATCAGTGACCTTTAGAAGAGTCAACATACTCACTGGTGACCCAGATAAATAACCTATCCGTTGATCATCTCTGTGATTCTGGCCAGTGACTCCCTCAACCCAGATCAGTGATCCGTTAGCGGCCCACCTGTCTGTACCTGCTCTGGGCTCTGGGTGACATTGTACCCAGGAATAGACTCCAGCTTATCCAGTGTGCCCCCTGTGTGGCCCAGACTGCGTCCGCTGATCATTGGCACCTGGTGGATAGGAATACTGACTGACCCCAATTGTTTCCCCCTTTCCCCAGCTTGTCTCTCCTCTAGTAAGAACTTCAGCTGAAGTTACTTTTTTTTTTTTTTTTTAAAGCAGTTGTAATATTTTAAAGTATTTTAAACCGTTGATGTGGGTGGCCAATTGGTAGAAAGAAAATCAATTGTACTCGGTGGGGAGCAGTCTGTCAGTCTGGCGGGAGCTGGCCCTCATTATCTGGGATCCAAGTTTGAGGGACAAGGAAAAGAAGCAGCTCTTCCTCCAAGGGTTCTGTTGGAGGAACAGAGGCAGCTCTGTTCCATAGCGGAACTTGGTCTGTATTGGGGGGTAGGACAACCCTGGGTTTGTGTCTGAAAGTTTTGAGCCAGGCTGGAGGGTAGGAGGTTCCTGCCAGTGGCTTAAAGATTTGCAGAGGTGATAGTCACTAACCTTGCAGCCACATGCAGCCAGGGCAGGTGCCAGAACCAGGCTGACCTTGTCACCCACACCTCCTGTGGAATGTTTATCCACAAGCTGCTGGTGCCAGGACCTGGGCCACTCCAATTGCTGCCCAGACTCTGCCAGGGCCCGGGTCAGCACAGATGTCTCCTCTAGGTCCATGCCCTGCAGCCGAATGGCCATCAGCATGGCTCCTAAGTATGGACACATGAGCGAGGTGTTTACAGAACATGAGTTTTCTGGGGCCCCGTGATGGTGGTAGGGTACTGTGGATCCTTGAAGTGCGTAAGGGGCAGTTGCAGGGGCCGGGGAGTAGGGCTCTAGTTTGGGCTTCCCACACACCAATTTGTGTGTCCTGTGCGCTTCCGTCCATCAGGGCATGCACGAAGTGCCTGATGTCTGCCTCGCTCAGATGCCCTCCATCTCTTTTCAGGCGGATCAGCTCAGGCAGGTGCCTGGACTTCTTACCCCCTCCCCCCGAGTCGGCCTTGGCTGCCTGTGAGGCTGAGGGAGGTGGTATCCCTGGAGCTGCCATTGCTCCAGCCTGCGGGGGATATAGAGAAGGTTCTGGAATGCCCCTCCACCGCCCTCTCCCCATCCGTGTCCCTGAAGGTGGTCACTTGTCCCAATCGGCTCTGGTGCCCATCAAGACCCCACGTCTCCCTCCACCCCCAGCCCCCCACCCCCAGTCCTCCACCCCCAGTCCGGCTTCAATTCCTGGACCTCACAACTTGATCCCAGTCTAGTACCCATTCAGTTCAGGGGGCCTTTACCAGTTTTCTGGGGTTGGCCCGGTCCCGGCCTGGTATCTCTCAGCCCCGTATGGAGTTAGGCGCACAGGAGACAGGTCACTGACAGGTATAGTTCAGGGACAGCGGACAGATAAGGCCGTCCCAGTAGGCGGCACTCATCAAGATGAGGCCAATCACCAATTAAGCTGCGCCCTACCTGCCACCTGTGGCCAGTCGATGTTTCCGGGACCTTAAAGGCCTGATTACGGCGCTCCAGAACCCGGGATTCCCTGGGGTCTTGGTATCTGTGGGTCCCAGGCTCTGGTCTCTTGGTTCAGACACTGTCGATGCTCACCTCACCCTCACCTGCCCCCTCTCCCCCTTTTTGCCCACCACACTGAAAGAGAGGCACACGCAGTACTGGCTTTGGAAAGCTTTAAGCAAACAACCGAGGGCCGGTGTGCGCCTGCCGGGTTCAGTCGTCCACGTGTGATATCAAGGGGGCCAGGTAGTCTGAGTGCCTGATGCCGAAGCTCCAGCCATGAGACTTCCGGTGCTGCGGGCCCAGGAGACACCGCTGACCTTACCAAGCCAGCTGTTCCCTGGGGACTCTGACCCATGTCTTAAGACCTCAGACCCTCACCCCCTGCCCCTTGACCCTGAACTCCAGACCACCTTGTCCACGCTGTAGGCTGCGGGTCCTGGCGTCTGATTACTGTCTTGGGGTATCGAAGTCCGCGGCAGCATGGAGTACTGCGGGGCTCGTTTCTTGTAGACCCCAGGTGTCACAACTTGGTAGGCACAAGGACCTGGGGTCTAGGAGGACAGGAAGAGTGCTGGGTCCAGCCTCCATTCCTTGGGAACTACTGACTCGCGCGCGCACGCACACATATACACGCGCGAGCGCGCTCTCCTGCCTCAGTTTCCCAAGTGGTGAGGTGCCTCTTGTTCTTCACTACCCCCAACTCCACTGACCCCCTTGACTACTGGAGAGGTTCAGCTGGCAGCCCCTTCCCCACCTTGCTGAGGTCCTCGAACCAGCTGCCCACATGGCTACGGCCGTGGATGGAGTAAGTTGGGGCTGAGACTTTGCCTATGACACGTGGGCCCAAGAGTGAAGGCACGGTGTAGGACCCAGGGCCTAAGGAGGAGCCAGAAAGAAGGTACTTAGACCAATCTCCTTGCCTTTATGGCAGACTGCCGAGCGAGGTGTGGGAAGGTCCCAGCCTTCCTGGCCTCACCTGGGCTTGGTTGCTTTGTGAGGATGCCCCAGTTTCGGGGAGCCATGGTATGCCGAGGAGCAGAGGGGTACGTCATGTTCCCTGCGCGTTCTGGGAAATACCTGCCTATGGGATAGACCAAGAGTGTGGGACAGAACTGGGGTGGGGTGAGGTATGGGGAGCCTAACCTGGGGTCTTGGCACTAGGAAGACATTGGTGCCACAGTGAAGTTACGCTTTCTGGGTGTGGGTGGGAGGTTCCCGGGATTCTGGGTTTGGGTGGGAAATCTCCTAGTGGGCGTCCCTGGAGGCAGTTCCACGTTGGGGAGCCCCGGGCCCCAGGGTGCTGACCCGGTCCCGGAGTGCGGAAGGGCGCCGTGTGGCTTAGGCGGCCATAGATGGAGAAAGCAGGGGTGCCGTCGCTGCCGCGCACAGTCATGCGGTCAGGCACCAGGTAACTTGGCCCCGGCCCGGAAGTCTGCTGCTGCAAGGGCAGGCGCGAGCCGAAGGTGAAGGCGGGCGCACGCGGCCGAGACGGGTCATGCAAGATGTAACCTGCAGGGAGGTTACGCCTCGAGTCCCGTCCCGCGGTGCCCAGAGGCTGCCAGCTCCTTCCCCTCCCCCACCTCGCCGAGGCAGTCCCGTCACGGAACCTCTTCTCTTTTGGCCTCCCTTTTTTTTTTTTTTTTTTTGCTCCAGGCACAGTTCTTCTGTTCCTGGATTCCAGGCACCAGTGTAGACCGCCCACAGTCCCACCTTCCCTACTTCCTCCACAGCATCCTTCCCCCCTGCCTCGCTACCGGTGTTCGGTGGCAGCTTGTATTTGGGCCCCGGGCTTTTCTGGAGCGCGGCGATGGGGCCGCGGGGCCGATGGGGCCGCCAAGGGCCGACCCAGACGTCTGCTCCCATGACGCAGGCGGGGCGTGGGGCCCTTACGGCTTGCAGCACCTGTGGAAGGAATTCGTAGGAGACACACTTCCCCAGCTTCACTCAGGACCAGCACGACCGAGGGCAAAGCCTAACGCGTATCCCAGGGCACCGGAAAACAAACAGTAGTTTCCCAGGATGGAGAGCGGGTGCACTGGGGCGGGAACGAGCTTCAAAGACATCGATGGCCTCCTGTCCCAGGAGCTTCAGTACAAATGTTTAAGTACAGGCCAAGTTCCGACCCAGACTTTGGAAAGGGAATGGCCTGGAGTTTCTGGGTGGGAGAGGGACTTGGCAGGCCTTTGGAAAGGACGTCGTGGGGAGGGTCCCTAGGGCACAAGGTGCTCGGAGGGAAGGCCTGGAGACGCACAGACCTGCTGTTGTGGTTCCCCTTTTGGGAAAGCAAAGCTGGGGAGCTTGACGACCCTTTTGTCAAACTCTCAGACCCCATTATGTCCCGTCTCGCTTCCTGGCAACCAGACCATATGCCTGGCCCCACCCTCGGGCCTTCAATAGTCTCATCGCCTGCCAGTGCTGAGACTGCGCTGGCTGGATGTTTAAGCGCGGTCACAGACCAGCGCGCCCATTCCAGAATGACAGATCTGCAGAAACAAGTTTACGAGTAAAAGGATAATACAGAAAGCTCAATTTAATTATGGATTCATGGAAGCCCATGAAATATTTGCAAAAACTAACCTTTGGGGCCAGAAAATAATACAAATAGAATAGAGAGACTACAGTGTATGACTGGGTCACACTGCCATACACATTCTCAATGAGCATTTTTTTTTAAAAGTAAACAAAAAACTTGGGAACCAAAAGGAAACTCAAATCTTCAGTCACAAATGACAGAAAATACTTCAGAGGAAAACTGTATAGTATACATATTAAATAGAAAAAAATGTATAGCCCTAAAATGAGTGTTGATGAAAATTTTAATGACATTTAGAATTTTACAAGCAGAGAGAAAAACAACAACAAAAGATTAAAAAACCAACCAACCAACCAACCAACCAGAAAACTGTGGAGTAAGCAGGTAGTGCCAGCACTCAGAACTGGAATAGGTAAGTCTCAAGTTCAAGACCAGCCTGAGATACACAGTGAGATCCTGTCTCCATAAAAACAAAAAAGATGCATCAAAGATAACTTTTAAAATAGCAGAAATGATATATGTATCTATTTGTAAAAAGATGGTACTTCAGTGAGCTTGGTAAAGGTGGATGTAATAGCCAACAAAAAATTAGATACCAGGCCAGGTGAGGTGCTACACACCTGCTGTTCCTTTACTCAGCAGAGGCAAGGTTGGCTCTCTAGCTCAAGGCCAGCCTAGTCTACAGAATGAATCTTTAGAGTCTCTTGTGTATAGTATCTGCAAACAAGTACTTTGTCTTTTCCTCTTTGTGTCCATTTTTATTTTGTTTTATTGCTGTAGCTAAGACTCTAAGAAATTATGCTGAATAAAAATGGAGAAAGTAATCATTCTGCCTTGTTCCTGGTTTTTAGTGAAAATGCTCTTAAGCTTTTTCTCTTTAGTTTGATGTTGGCTGTAGGCTTGTCATACACAGTCTTTATTGTGTTAAGTATCCTTCTGTTTCTATTTTCTTCAGGGATTTTATCAAATAAAAGAATAGATTTTATCAAAGTTGTTCCTTATGAGATGGCCATGTGATTTCTGTCTTTGAGGCCATTTATGTTTATATTACACTAATTTATATGTGTTGAACCATCTTAGAATCTCTGGAAGGAAGTACTTTTTTTTTCCCTTTAGTTTGATTTTCTGAGGCAGGGTTTCTCTGTGTAGTCCTGGCTGTCCTGGAACTTGCTCTGTAGACCAGGCTGGCCTCTGCCTCCCAAGTGGTGGGCCCAAAGGTGTACACCACCATATCTGGCTTAATTTAGGTCTTTTTTTTTTTTTTCTTTTTTCTTTTTTAGTTCTTTCTCCTTAGAGACAGGGTCTCATTATGTAGTTCTGGCTGGCCTAAAACTCACTATGCAGATCAGGCAGGCCTTGAGCTCACAGAGGTCCACTTTCTGCCCCCAGTGCTGAGATTAAAGGTGTGTGCTGCATGCCTGGCCTGTCTTTTATCATGTTTAGTTTGGCTAATGGTTTGTTGATATTGTTTTTAAGAGGTTTTTGTTGATTCTTAGTGTTATTTTTAATTTTCTTTAAATGTGTGTGTGCCTGTGTGTTTGAGTGGTTTGCCTGCATGTATGTCCGTGCACCATCTCTGAATGCAGTCCTTGAGGAGGCCAGAAAAAGGGAGTGGATCCTCTGGGTCTGGAGTCAGATAGTTGTGGCCACTGTGTGTGTGCTGGGAATTGAACCCAGGTCCTCTGCAAGCATGTGCTCTTAACTGCTGAGCCATCTCTCCAACTTGTTTTAACATTCCTATTTTATTAATTTTTGTTATGATAGATCTTGATTATTTCTTTTCATTTATTTATTTATTTATTTATTTATTTATTTATTTATTTATTTATTTATTTAGACCAGTGTCTTACTATATCACTCTGGCTGTTCTGGAGCTCACTATGTAGACCAGACCAGCCAAAGCCTCACATAGATTCCCTTGCCTCTCCCTCCTGCATGCTGGGATTCAAGGCGCACTATCACACATGACAGGTTAATATTTTCTAAGCCTTAAGATTATTCTAGTAATGGGCTTATAAATCACAACATGATGTTTTGATTATAGGTACTTTCATGCAAAAAAATTCAATAACAGAGAAACTTAATATATGATGGGCTTTGATCGCCTGTATAGTTTATGTGTTTTGAAGGTTCTGCTGTATTTAGCTTCACATCTGAAGTTATGTAATGAGCTGTGCTGTGCCATCACTGGAGAAACCAACTTTAGATAGGCAACAAGTAGCTCTCATTTCTCTTATGGAAATGGAGAAGGGACAGTCTTCAGTGAACCCTGGAAATGAGGGCTCTTGGAGGGAGGTTTCCAATGTTAATCAGATCTTCCTAGGCCCCCCCTTGGTCAATTTTTATTGTTTTCTTTGATATTATCTGTGCTGTCTCTGCCCTTAAAGCCAACAAGACGGGCTGTGTGACTCACAGTTTGTAACCTTTCTACCTGTGCTACTTTTTAACCTTGGGAAGGGATGAGTGGAAGTGGCTGTCCTTTGGCCCTGGAGAGGGGCCAGCAGCACATCCTCAGACATCTTCCTCACAGACGCTACAGCAGTGGTTCTCAACCTGTGGGTCACGACCCCTGTAGGGGGTCGTATATCAGATTTCCTGCATATCAGATATCAGGGCTCTGAAGTAGCAACAAAATAGTTTTATACTGGGGGGAGGGTCACCACAACATGAGGAACTGTACTGAAGTGCCGCAGCACTAGGAAGGTTGAGAACCACTGATCTAGACACAACAAAGTTTGCCCTCCGTCTGACTTCAGCAAAGGCATGCACTTCCTTTTTGATGGTACTAAGCATGACCTGGTCATCTCAAGACCCCTCCCCACCGTGTGACCCTCATTCCTTATGGGTTTGTTTGTGTTGATTCCTGCATTCACACTGCCCTCTGTGGCTCCCCTCTGACCCTCCTCATTCTAACTGCCCTGATCTTCAGAAGCTGTGTGGAGCCAACAAAGCATTCACTTAGCCTATAAAGAGCTACACAGGAGGTCTTGGGTCTCCAAACTTAACTACAAAAGCAGACAGAGCCTGAGACTGGGACAGAGAATGAGCTCAAGAAAGTTGATAATTGGAGTCCGTCCACCTTAAGGCACGGGGCTCACCCCAGCCTCTCCCTGTCACTTAATAGTTCTGTGGGAAGCTGGACTGGGACCAGGCCAAATGAGATACTTGAGGCTCAGCAGAGCCCAGGCGAGGTGCCAGAGACTCTCTTGACACCTCCTTGATGTCTGAGTCGAGGAGTCCTTGAGGGGTCCATTGTGTTTCAGAGGAAAAGTCCCCTTCTTGTTGGGAGAGCTTTTGTTCTGGGACTCCACCCCTTCTATGTGTCTGGGTCTTACCTGGTAAATGTGCTAAGACTCACTCCTCATGTGGATTTCAGTGGTGAACACAGAGACAGGAACCCTCCCTAAAAAGGTCAAGTGCTTCTGCCTAACGGACTATCCACAAACCATCCTGGGAGCACCAAACTGGGGGAGGAGGCAGGAGGGTGTGAGCTGGTTCAGACAGGAAAGGTGGAGGGTGAGAGGGTACCTGGTGGAGCTCCTGAACCGGAGAGGGTGTCTGAGGATCCGGGTACACGCTGTTGAAGTGACTGCAGGAGAGGCAGGCTGTGCTTTTTCAGAGGCACATTGGAGTGGTGGCTGAGAAGGTCCAGCGGGTAAAAGGAGGCCAGGCAGCTCCAGACTTAGGTTAGGGGTGGAATAAGGGAGGGAGCAAGGGAGGGATAATGTTTGGGGTTTCTTCATTCTTTCTCATTTTTTCCTCCTCTTGACTTGCAAAGTCGTTTCCTTAGAGCAATGTTTGGTAGCTGCTGAAAGAGGGGGGTTGAGAACTTCACTTTTCCAGTACCCAGATGGCCACTCACATGACCCTCATCCCAGGGTCTCGTTTTTCCGTCTGAGAGCCCACCAAAATGACCCCCCTACACACACACATCCTTCCCTGGAGGCCATGGTGGAATTGGCCTCTCCGGTTTCTGGTAATTTCATCAGGGCTGCATCGTGTTGCTGAGACTCAAGATAACATCTCCCTGTGGGCTAACCCTTCCATGCCAGAGCTCCTGTATGGCCTATAGGGTTTAAGGTGAATTTGGGAGGTGTTAGGGTCTATAAGGCAGAAGATAATGGGGCGAGATGTTGGCAGGGTGTACGCTGTCGCTTGTCCCTAGGACCCTGAGCAGAGAAGGAAGGGCCAGGTGCTAGGATGAGGGGTGCACACCAGGGCAGTCCGCCGGAAGCTACAGGCTCTCTTGGTGTGTCTGACTAGGTTGAATGCAGGCAGGTGTCCCTCAGGGGCCTGGAGAATCAGTCCACCTTAACAGGGCTGTCCTAGGTGAGCTGCTGGCGATGCCATCTGCACATCTATCAGCTCAAGCTGGGTGCAGGGCACGGGTAGCTGCCGGGCAGAGCAGGCTGTTCACAGCAGATCTGCAATTCTCACCATGCACCAGGGCGCTCTAGACGTTGGCGGGCCCCTCTGGGGCTGGGATGGTGATGGAGATGAAGACTGGGATGGAGCTGTCCTCACCTTGCTGGCACTAGCAATGGTAGCCACCATAGCACTGGCTTTGCAATGGTTTGGCTCCAGGCAGGACCAGGAGGCACAAGGATCAGAGACTACAGCTCCAGGTGTGCAACCCTCTCAGGCCGGAGGAGTCAGGCAGGCCCTGCACCCAAAGTCCAAGGACAGTGATGCCAGTGAGGGCCAGAGCAAAGGACAGGAGAAATCAGAGGCTCCTGGAGATGGCCAGAGAAGACCTGCTTCAGCCTGGGCCCAGGACCTAGAGCCATCAACAGACAGAAGTATGTCCTCTGATGCCCAGCTTCCACTCAAGACACCTGGAGAGGTGGCCAGCAAAGGGACTACCCCAGAATCTCTGGGAAAGAAAAGAAAGGAGCCACCCAGGCCAGAAACTTCCTCCCCAGGCCACCACAAAGCAAGGGATATTCCTGTCCCCATCATGATCCACTTTACCCCTCGAAGTCCTGACTTCAGAACAGAGATGCAGGTAGAGGCAGCTGGCACTTGTGGTAAGGGGACAGCTCGGCAGGGCCCTGCCCATTCGGACCGACAGGACACCAGCCCCTGGCATCTGGCTGTGGGGCCTCCTGGCCCTCTGGGGAGAGGCCTCAGCAGTGTTCGGCGGCGAAGGCGGCCTGGTGCCAGCTCAGGAGACAGACCCTACCGACTAAAGCTGGATCCCCTCCGCCTGGGCACCGTGGTGAGTGTGTGGGATGCTGTGGACATGGCAGCTGCGGCCACCCAGGACACCCTCACCAGCAACTCCCTTGCAGGTCTCTCATTGCTCCACTCAGACACGGGGCTCAAGGGTCCTCAGGAGAAGGCCCTAGCAGATGCTGTGGATAGTCAGCCTCAGGTGGACTCCTTCAAGGACGCGTGTGGGAGGAGCAGCCTGCAGCTCACCCCCGCTAGCACTGCAGGCTCAGGGGCTAAGGGGAGTGACAGCAGGGAGATTGAATCTCCTGCCTCTAGGGAGACTCAGGGGACCCTGGCTAGTAAGGAAAACTGGCCCCGGGAGAGTGGGTCAGCTGTTGTCACCAGCAACTTCAGCCTTTCCCAAGGTACCTTGCCAGAAGAGCTGCACTCTGGGGCTTGTGCAGTGGACCAAGCTGCTGGCCAGAGCAAGATGGAGAAACTAGGAGATGGCCATCTCATTGTCAAAGGGCGAGGGTCGTGTCTTGGTGGGGAAAGTGAGCGCATGGCTGGCAGTCCAGCTGCGGACCAGTGCCTTGTGAAGTCCACTGGTGGCTTCGGCTGCACCCCTTCCCACAGCCTTCCAGCCTCTCCTCTGACCGGGGACACTGAGCTGCTGCCATCCTCTCCCGCGGCAGTGCGTTCCATCCCTGGGCTCCTACAGGCAGCCTCTCCCTCTCCCCCTTTAAACAATTCGCCCCTGGGAGTCACCCAGGGTCCTCCTGGTGGTGACAGTCTCAGAGGAGGGCCATCCCCCTCTCCTACCCCAACTTTAGCTTCCGCAGGAGCCTCAACTTCAGCTCCAGCAGCAACCCCAGCACCACCTTCAATATCACCGCCAACCTCAGCCTCAGCTTCATCCTTAACCCCAGCCCCAGTGACAGCCCTAACCCTGATGTCAACAGCAGCGCCGTCTCCAACATTACCTCCACCCTCAACTCCAGTTACAGCCTTAACCCTAACCTCAACAGCAACTCCACCAACCCTAACATCACCCCCAACTCCAGCCTCTGTCCTAGTTGCAGCCCAGGCTCCTGCAGTTGACAGTGAGCCAAGGCCTATGTCTAGGGAGTCTAGCGTAGGACTCTCCAAGAGCTTCCCAGAAGGACGGCTCTCATCTAGCTGGGCCAACCTCATTACCATGGTTCTTAGAAGCCATCCCTTCCCTAGGCAAGAAAAGGACCAAGGCAGTGCCCCACAGGCAGACCCCAAGAGTCCTACAGAGCCCAGCATATCCACATACTCTGGAGATAGACAGCCAGGGCTCCCCTCTGAAGGGGCCACCTCCAGCCTCCAGGATAAACACAGACCATCGTCAGTGTTAGTCACACCAGTAGGTTCAGGGGGCTTAGCTGAGGCTAGATGTGAAACACAGCCACTGAGCTTGGAGACTAATGAGTCTTTTGCCCCAGACCCTAGAGGGGATGGGACCAAGCAGACAGGCCTTGACTTGCTGCCTCCAGCTGCAGAGCCTGTGGCTGCCTCACAGTCCCCCGTGCTGGCACAGCCTGGTCCTGTACCATCTACTGCTCTGAGGCAGGACGTGCAGCCTGCCCCTCAGCCTCGGCCACGGAGGAAACGCAGCATAGCTCAGGGCTCGGAACAGATGCTTGCCCAGGAGGTACCCCAGCAGCCCCAGGGGCGGCCACTAAAGGAGGGAGCCAGACCCGCAGGCAGCAGGGAGGCCCTCACCGAGAGGCAGAGAGAGGCGCAAAGGCTTATGTTTTTTCTGCAGAAGCCTGGGAGCTGGGGAGTGGTGGAGGGGCCTCAGAAACACTGTACACAGGCCTCACAGCCCGCCACAACAGTGGCCCCATGGCCCCCAAAGCTAGATCTAGGCAGCTGCTTGGAGGTTTTGGCCTTTGCCCAGAAGCATGGAGAGCTGGCCTTAGCCCAGGAGACCTATGTCTTGATGAGCAACAACTTGCTCCATGTTCTGGGAGACCCACACCTCTACCGACAGCTGAGTGGAGCCGACAGGGAGCGCATCCTGAACCTGCGGACCTGCCAGGGTCAGACGGTGCTGGGGGTCCTCGTGCTGCCCAGCCTTTACCAGATGAGCCGCTCAGGGCTCGCGAGGGGCCCTCAAGGTGAGGAGGCTCCTGCAACCAGGTCTGATCCACTGCATCTTGACACACACCTCCACGTGTTCAGCCCACAGGAGAATGTGTGGCGGCCACTGACTCAGGTACCGGAGGAGGTCCCCCTCCGGGGCTGTGGCCTCTGCACTATGCATAACTATCTGTTTCTGGCAGGCGGCATCAGGGGTTCTGGTGCCAAGGCTGTCTGCTCCAACAAGGTGTTCTGCTACAACCCTCTGACCAACATTTGGAGCCAGGTTCGGCCCATGCACCAAGCCCGGGCCCAGCTCAAGCTGGTGGCTCTGGATGGAATGCTTTACGCCATTGGTGGTGAGTGCCTATACAGCATGGAGCGCTATGACCCACGCACAGATACCTGGACCTTGAGAGCATCCCTCCCCGAGGGCACCTTCCCTGTGGCCCATGAGGCTGTGGTCTGCCGAGGAGATATCTATGTCACGGGGGGTCATCTCTTCTACCGCCTGCTCAGATACAGCCCCGTGAAGGACTCATGGGATGAGTGTCCCTATAGCGCCAGCCACCGACGCTCCAGTGACATGGTGGCACTAGGGGGCTTCCTCTATCGCTTTGACTTGCTGCGGGGCGTAGGCGCTGCAGTGATGCGCTACAACACAGTGACGGGCTCCTGGAGCCGAGCCGCCTCCCTGCCTCTGCCTGACCCTGCCCCCCTCCACTGCACAGTGCTGGGCAACACCATTTACTGCCTCAACCACCAGGTCACGGCTACCTTCACAGTTTCCGAGGGGACCGCCCTGTTTCAGGCCAAGGAGCTGCAGCCCTTTCCCCTGGGAAGCAAGGGGGTCCTCTATCCATTCACTCTGACTCTGCCCCCAAAGACCTGGTTACAGACCACACTCTGAGTGCTGGAAAAGAGGCAGAACTGTACAGCCGCTCTCCAGGGAAACCCCTCCTCTCGCTGGGTCTGAGTGGACCTGCGGCGTGGGAAAAAGCCTAGTCAGAACGTTCTGCTCTTGTGCCCAAAGCTTTCCCTGTCAAGTTAAGAGCTGTTAATCTCTGAAGTGAGATCCCTTCTACCTCCCTCCCTCCCCTTGGACCCTGGCTCCCTAAAGTCCTCTTGAATCCCTACTATACCTTGCTATACTTTGCTATACTGTACTTTGGCCCAGGTCCTACCTTCTTACGATGTCTTAGTTTTTCTCTTTCTCTCTCTCTCTTTTTCTTTCTTTTTTCGAGGTAGGGTTTCTCTGTGTAGCCTTGGCTGTCCTGGACTCGCTTTGTAGACCAGGCTGGCCTCGAACTCACATCGATCCACCTGCCTCTACGTCCCTGAGTGCTGGGATCAAAGGCGTGTACCACCACAGCCAGCAGTTTTATTGCAGCCACTTCTGTGGGACCCTTTGGGACTCACTAGAAACCTATTTAAGCTTTCTGTGTTCCCTCAAGCTGGAAGAGGAAGCGAAGAGCGCCTCAGCAAACTCCTCACTCTGGGATTTTGCTGTCTTGAGGCCTTTTAGGAGTCAGGCTTCACTCTCTCCATGGGTCCCCAATGGCACTTGAACATCCACGCCATCCCTTCCCTAGTTTTACCTGTTGTTATGTGTGTGGACCAGGATATGGCATTTAACCCTCTGGATACTTGTCATTCAGATCCATGGGGATAGGATCACCAATGGCCACCTGGCCCGGTGCCTGGGGCAAACTGCATTCAAACCGACTGAAGGGAGAAAATCTGAGTACTGCTGCTTGTCCTGACCTGCAACCTAGTTTATCTCAACTGAGCCATTTTTTTTTTTCTTAAAAAAAATTATGAGCTGGAGAGATGGCTTATGGGTTAAGAGCACTGGTCATTCTTCCAGAGGGCCCAGGTTTGAATCCTAGAATCTACACAGTGGCTCATGACGTCTTGTAGCTTCAGTCCCAGGGGAATCTTCTGCCCTCTTCTGGCCTCTGTGGGCACTGCATGCATGTGGTTCACAGACATACATGCAGGCCAAACACCCACACATAAAATAATAAACTATTTTAAAAATAAATCATTTATTATTATTGTGAGGGGAACACATGTGTCATGGCGCATGTGCAGAGATCAGAGAATGACTCTGTGGAATTGCTTCTCTCCTTATCCCTTTGTTGGTACTATGGACTGAACTCAGGCTATCCATCTTGAATGGCGAGTGCCTGTATCTACAATCTTGCCAGCCCCATTTTCTTTCCTTTTTATTCTGTGCTTAGTGCAACAGATACCAACAGGTGTTTGGCCCTGAAAGCATCTTCCTCACACATTTGTCTCTTTGCTTACAAGTCTGCTATGAAGCTGGGTCACTCACAGTGCAAGACAGAAAGCGCTCCTTGGGTTTGCTTGAAAATAAGTTTATTGAGAAACAAGTACCGTGCACACAGCTACACATCTGGGCCTCTGGACCCAGGCCCTTAGCTCAGGACCCTCAGGCTGGTGACAGGTGGGGGCTCACTGCTTGCGCTTGGTCTCGGTGAGTAGCTCTTGCCAGTTCTTCTCCATCTCCTCTTTGCAGTTGAGGAAGGCATCCTCCAGCCGGCGCATGGACTCTGCTAGTGTGGGGTTGGTACGCATGACCACCATGTCATAGGCCATCCAGGTTGCCTGCACTACAACAATCAAACAGGCTCAGTCAGGCGACAGGTGCTGGTGCTTGAGGGGTGGGGGCACTCTCCTCAGCTTCGGGGGCCAGACCCTGGGGGAGTATCCTGAGTATCCCAAAGAGAGAAAGCTTCCAGGGCGCTATAACCCTACAAAACTCTCTACAGTAGCAATAATGACAACTGCTGATATTCTAGATGTCTTAACCTCTCAGTGTTTAAGCCGATGACAGTAACAAGCTGGAAGGCGGTCTGATACAGAATGGGAGGAAAATCAGAGCAGAACACGATCCTTACTTGTATGTGGTTCACAGCTAATGGTTCCAGGTGACTCCTAGGAAGTCATTTTTTCACCCAAGCTTACATGCTCAGGAAAGCCAACCAATTCCAGACCCGCAAGACCCAATTTATATGTTTTCTCATGCTCAGTGATCTGAGACACCTATCTACCGGCCCCTGACGCCAGGGGTCCAGGGCAGAGGTGCTTCTCCTGGAAAAGTTTGGCTGCCTCTTTGTTAGGCATCGTAGAGTGTTCACCATCACACGGGCAGGCATCTCTGCCTTTTCTCAGAACAACCTGAAGGCAGACTCTACTGGGGCTCTAAGGGAACACACAGTCCTTGGGCAGGCTCAGTGGAAGTGTGTGCAGCACCCACTTCTGGGATGGCTCTTCCCTCTAGAAGTTTACAGAACATGGTCTGCCCCTCCGCATGACAACTGAGCACAGCATACATGTCCCCTTAAAGTTCTTCTAGCAGGGTAAAAATACTGGCTATGTTGGAGAATTATATCAGTAAGAAAATTAACCAATGAGAGTATAGGAAAATGCTTAGTGAGAACTGTGCGTGTGTATGTATATGCGAACAACTTCACAGACTTGAAGTAATAGAGAGAAATGTATATTTAGTTATGGAAAAACTCCTAGAAAACGTACCTGCAGGGTCTTAATAGGGTGCACATGACTCTATCACTAGCACAGGGAGTCTTTAGTGTTTGGATCAGGAGTAGCACTTGGGACACTTCCTACAGTGTAGACCACTGGTCCATTCCACAACACACAGAGCTTTTGGCCAGCAGATTGAGATCATTCTAGCACAAAGGGTCTGCGGACCACACTTTCCAGACCCCGGGTAGCAGATGGCACATGGATCTGGAAGCCAGAGCAGAGTCTGCTGCCAGTCTCTCTACTTGCTGGCTATGCGAACTTGAACAAGGTGTAAATCTGTTAATTAGGTCTCCTCATTTACAAAAGAGACTATCTTCCTGTGAGAACCAAGCCGATATTTATGAACCTCTTAGCACATGATATGGACTGAATGCATGCATACCTCTCCATTTATGTACTGAAATATGGTTCCAAGTTAATGGTATGGGTGATGGGCTGCTGAGAAGTGTGCAGTAATAAGGATAGAGTCCTCATGACTCATGGGGTTACAGTCTTTATAAAAGAGACAGAGCACTTGCAACTGACCATGCGAGGAAAAAGAAGAAAGTGGATGACTAGACAAGCATGGAAGAGAACTCTCACCAGATAACCTGCTGGCACCTTCATTTTGGGTTTCCCAGATTCTAGGACCATGATAAATAAATGTTTATTTCTAAAGCTACCTTGCTTGTGGCCATTTGTTGTAGTATCTGCAGATGATTAGTGAGAAACTGGTACCAACAAGGTGAGCGTTGCTCTCGCAAACACCTGAAAGTATGGGAGCAGCTTTGGTGGTGGTGGGGAGGTTGAAGTTTATAATAGAAGTGCCTGATACAGCATATCATGAATGGAGCTTTAAGAGTAATCCTGTATCAGGAAGAAAAGAATTTAGAGAGAAACCCTGTGGCTTCACAGAGAATATATGTAATGCTCGACAGAATGCTCAGGGATCTGCAGATGGTAAAGCCATTCTGATGAGAGCTCTGAAAGAAATGAAGAATTTTATCAGGAACTGGAAGAAAGATGACCCTTGTGATGACTGTCAAAGGACATGGCTGGATTATGTTCATACTCAGTACTTGGTGGAAGGCAGAATTGTAAGCAATGAAACTGGATACCAGGATGAGGAGAACCGCTTAAAATCAGAAACTTTTATTATAAAATAAGTAATTTACATACTCAAAGACTTTAAGGTATGAAAGAAAATAATATCAGGGGATAAAAGTAGCTCAAAGAAATGAATCTCCCACAGTACCCCACAACACTGTATTCTAACTCCTCTGAGTTTCCTACTAGGCCAATGCAGAGATAGAAAATTCTTTTACAACACCCCTGAAGTCAGGTGTGGTAGCACATGCCCTTTGATCCCAGCACTTACGAGACAGAGGCAGGCCTAGTCTACAGAGTGAGTTCCAGGACAGCCAAGGCTACACAGAGAAACAAACCAAAACAACCCACTTCTGTTTTGGAGCTGAGTGGTAAAGCCCTCTATCTTAGTCACTTCCATTGCTCTGAAGAGACACCATGACCAAGGCAACTAACTTTTTTTGTTTGCTTTGTGTTTTTCAAGACAGGGTCTCTCTGTAACCTTGTCTGTTCTGGACTCACTTTGTAGACCAGACTGGCCTCAAACTCACAGAGATCTGCCTGTCTCTGCCTTCCAGAATGCTGGGATTATAGGTGTGTGCCACTGTGGCTGGCTGATCTAGGCAACTTATAAAAGTAAAAGGAATCATTTAATTGGGGGCTTGCTTACAGTATCAGAGGGTGAATCCATGACCATCATGGCTAGGCATTTGGCAGCAGGCAGGCAGGTATGGAGCTGGAGAAGTAGCTGAGAGCTTACATCTGATCCATAAATTGCAGGCAGAGACAGAGAGTGAGACTCCACCTGGCGTGACACACCTCCTCCAACAAGGCCACACCCCTTAATCCTTCCCCAGCAGCTCCATTAACTGGGGACCAAGTATTTAAATTTATGGGCCTATGGGAGCCATTTTCATTCAAACCACCCCCCCTCCAGAGCATGCATGAAGCTTTGGTTTGATTCCTAATGTGGGAAGAGTAAAAACCTCCAGAATAAAAAAATCAACAAAAACAAAGTGAAACAAGAATTCTATCTTAAAAGAAAAATTCCCAAAGAGGTTCCTTTATGAAGAATATTCTAGGGGCTGAAGGGATAGTTCAGTGGTTAAGGCATTGCTGCTTTTCCAGAGGACAGGGGTTTCATTCCCAGCACTCACATGACCATTCAGAACTGTCTATAACTCCAGTCTCAGGTGGTTGATCTGACCCTCTTTTTGGCCTCTTTGAGCACTGTAAACATAGTGCAAGTCATACATGCAGGCAGGCAGGCAGGACATCCATACACATAAAATAAATTTATTTGCAATCAGAGTCAAGGAAGAAGAGTATTCTGTAGCTGCAAATGACTTTGACAACATCTGTATTTTAAAGATAGGGAGGCCTCATGCCTGCAGTTAGTTAGAATCACAGGTAAAGGTTAGTGTGGAACTCTGTTGGATGCGGTTGAAGTCTGACATTTCCGGATAGCCTCACACTTGGTCTAAGATGGTGGACTCCATTTTCTCAGCAGGGTTCTCTCTCTACCTGATCTGGTAACCTCAGATCTTTTAAGAAGTATCACATAGCCCTCAAGGAAGATTACAGGCCAGACCCTTTCCTGATAAGAAAACCTCCTTAGCAAGCATCTGGGAATTCCTGGAAATACCCCACCCTGCTAATAAATGTAAAATGAGACACTGTACCACTACATGTAAATCAAGCATCCTTGGCATCCTTGACCCAGGTCAACCAAATACATTCACCCTCGAAACCCCTTCCACCGCCCAAGGTTTATAAATCCCTGATTTCAAGTAAAGGTGCAGGGTGTTGTACAATGTGGGATACCATCAGCCTTCTACCATGGCGACTGAGATTTCTCATTTAATCCGGGGGAAGGAGGGCTCTCCTCCTCCCTGGAGATTCTACACTGAACTCCTGGGGCTTGCTTCCAGCCAGGCTGGCTGAAGCCTGACTGACTACCCCAGCTTCTGGACCATCCCAGGGCTTGACTGCCAGTCTGTCTGTCAGCCAGCCATGTGCTGCATAGCAGCTTAACAAAGGAGCTATAGCACTTTGATATTGCTAGAGGCTTTGGAACACCTGAGCTTCCATTGCCACTGGCAATCTCATTCTAAAAGAGCTAATTAATTTTAACACTCCATGGAAAATTCTTTCCACACCCTAGCCTAGCACATGGGCCTCACCCTAAAGTGTTCTAGGTGTTCCTGAGATCTGGGACCTCTGATTCCGTTCTCCATCTGGAAGCACTGTTCCAGGCCTCTGCCAAATGGAGAACAACAGGATAGCTGGCAGTATGGATAAAAGCACTATAAGGAAAGACAAATCAGTAAGACAGCAAGGCACTCTATCATTTGCATAGCCCTCTTGTCTTCTGGTCCAAGGGAAATATTTTAGGAATAGAATAGGAAGAACTAACCAGAAGAGTCTCCAGAAATATGTCTTTCTTGTTTTATCCTATAAAGGAAGGGTCTCATGTAGTTCAGGTAAGCCTTAATCTTGCTATGTAGCTGAGGATGACCTTGAACTCCTCTTGCCTCTCACCCCTACCTCCCAGTGCTGGAATTACAGGTATGTGTTACCACATCCTACTTCATAAATATGTCTTTTGGGGTTTTGATGCATTTACCGTTTACTGATTGCCACTCTGTGCTACCATTTGCTAAGGCAGCTCTGGTACTATACAGAAGGGTATAGAGCAGACACATGTGTTTTCCTGAAGTGTCCATGATAAGTTGCAGTGGGAGAAGACAGATCACCAGCATACAAGTCATTAGAGACTATGAAACATGCCAAGAAGGAAGTAAACATGGTATATATTCACTTATAAGTGGATATTAGACATATAATATAGGATAAACATACTAAAATCTGTACACCTAAAGAAGCTAAGCAAGAAAGAGGATCCTGGGTAAGATGATCAATCCTCACTCAGAAAGGCAAATGGGACAGACATCGGAAGAGGGAGAAAACAGGAAACAGGACAGGAGCCTACCACAGA